GGTCAACTTTTGAGGATTTCATTTCAAACTGTTTTTAAAATTTTGTTTCTTACTGGATTATGACTTAATGTGTAATACTGGTGAGTACTTTTTCTGCAATATTGTCGTCCTTTTTTTAAATTCTAGTTTGTTCAGATGTACTACATAAGAAAAAGTTTTCATTAATTTGAAAGCATTTCTTAAAAAATTCCCTAGGCTCGCCTTATATAACAAGATCAATGTCACAAATTTGTTTATTAAAACTAATATAACTATGCAAAAGGATTTCAAAAGTAGAAAGGAACATCATTTGAAAGTTCAGTTAATCTAATGCTAATGTCACATACATGTACATGTATTTAGTAATTAGAAAATCTTAACTTATTAGTGCTTAATTATTGTCATTATCATATTGCATTGCTTTATTGCATGGATCTTCTTCGAAAATATGCAGAACTACATTGCAAGACTTCCATGACTCCGATTTTTTAAACTATAAGAATAACTTTACAAAAGCAAACATATTTTTAATTGCAGCGCGTTTCTAAGAATTCATTGGAATATAAATTCCCATCCTCATTGCGGTATCCTTATAAGAATGGCCGTATCTCCGGGAGAATAAATGTCTACAGGCGTGAAACATAGGTTACCTGTCAAAGCTAACAAGGTTTTACTTCTCCAAAAACTGACCACTATCACTTAACGGGCGGAAATGACCGCTTTGTGGGTTTTTTCTCTTCTTGTTTTGCTTTCGTCCAATCAAATCAGATTTAACATCTGAATGTTGTGTAAATGGTAAATCTCAACTAATGAATATTTGTACATGCACATTTTATTAGCTATAAAAAGATGTACAACTTTGTAGACAAATTCCTTTATCCCCCCCCCCCCCCGAAAAAAATATTAAAAATTATAATAACAAATAAAGTAAATAAAAATATCTGACGGAAAAGACTGTTTACAAAGAAGAAAATCGATTTTTTTTTTAAATATACATATGCCAGGTTTATTGTACAATTTTGACATATCCTATCAGATTCAATTTAACTAAGACAGAGAATTATACGTTTTCGCATATGCGAACACAAATAGAAAGGAACAAAAAATTCATTAAATACGAACATTGTTAATTAGTTTCCATAAATCTCTGAATTTAATCCCTACACAAATTGTGGGATAGCGATGGACATTAGCCCACATGAATCACTTTATTGAACTGATTTAGTCGCTACACTTACAATTCACTACGCAGCGAGATTCCTAAACCCGATAGAGCAAACACCGAAAAACCATTTTACTGAAATAAGCACGATTGATTTGATTTTAAAGATAATTTCTTTTCATTTAAGTTTGAATTAATGTTATTGATTACCATTCTTAGCGTTTTTTGCACACCTCGGTAATATAGTTTTTCGATTAACGGTACTTTACACACTTTTAATTGCTAGATTTGGTCACCTATACGAATTGAAATGACGCAGTATATGTCGTCCACTAATCGCTCTAATTCACATTCAAAATTTGCAAATAAAATTCATGAAAGTAACATCCGGTTGCGGAGGAGAGAGAGAGAGAGAGAGAGATTTGCTTTTTTCCCTACATCTTCACAATACCCCATCTTATTTAGAAACATACTTTGTCATTTTATTATTGTTAGGTTTTATAAAAAACATTAATTAAGGTATTTTAAAAAAATCATTGACATATATACATATATAAAAAGTGGTTGCAATCAAATTACATTTTGATTGATCAAACTTTTCGGTTGCGAATTAAAGCGATTGGTATAGCCGTGAGTATGCCTCTTCAAAAATTAGTATATAATTGAATACAAATTTCAACATGAATTTTGTCTGCTGGTTTAACAGGAGATCAATTCAATGGGCCACGACGCTCAACTGAGTAACTTCTCTGTTCTTCACTAGCAGATTCTTTTTCCTATATATTCTTATATAAAATTTGATCACATATTATGGCCCCACATTACCCCCAGGGGGTCACGATTTGAATAAACTTAAATCTACACAGCCTGTTTCCATACAAATTTGACCAATCATGGCTTTGCTGTTCTTCAGAAGAAGATTTTAAAAGATTTTTCCCTATGTTTCCAATGTTAAACTTTGATTGCCTATTGTGGCCCCACCCTACTCCCGGGGGTCATGATTTGAACAAAATTGAATCTACACTACCTGCAGATGCTTCCATATAAATATGACTAACCATGGCTTGCTGTTCCTTGGAAAAAGATTTTTAAAGACTTCTCCTATATATTCCTATGTAAAACTTTGATCCCCCATTTCTGCCCCACCCTATACCCAGGGATCCTAATTTGAACAAACTTCAATTTACACTACCCGAAGATGATTCCATATAAATATGACTGATTATGGCTTTGTTGTTCTTCAGAAGAAAATTTTTTAAGATATTTCCTGTATATTTCTATGTATAAATTTGATCCCCTGTTATCGCCCCACCCTACCCCAAGGGGTTATGATTTGAACAATCTTGAATCTTCACTACTTGAAGATGCCTTTTGATGAATATGATAATGATGAATTTGTTGTTCTTCGGAAGATTTTTAAAAGAATTTTCCTATATATTCCTAGGTAAAAATTTGATCCCCTGTTGTGGTCAAGCCCTACCCCTGGGGGTCATGAATTGAACGAAAATGAATTCACAGTATGTAATGAAGTTTTCAAATAAGTTTCATCTTTTCCAGTCCAAGTGGTTCTTGAGAAGATTTTTAGAAGATGCCACCAAATATTCACGAATTCTTAATATCTCTTGAAAGAGGACGCACGTGGCACTTCCTGTGAACAAACTTAAATCCCCTTCACCCAAGGATGCTTTTTGGCATTTTGCTCGGACACTTTTCGATCAGATAAGCTCATTTGAGCCTTCAGCTCATGTGAGCTAAAAACAATGTCTTTTGCATGAGAGACGTTCACATTGTATGCATATAATTTAATCCTTTATGCAAGAGGCAGACACCTGCTGAACGTGTAAATAAAATATTTCTGTGACATCATTGAAATATCTAACTTTATTGACAATCTCATTCTATATTGATAATTGAGGTACATCATACAATGAATTCTTTGGCCTAGGCTGATAACAGGGGACAAGTTGCATCCAAACTGACGCACCGTTTTAACGGTAAAACGCTAAAGGGATTCCCCCAATTTCTTGTTTTTCATACTTGTAGTTCTGCACAAAATTAAAGGGGGCACTTGAATCTTCAGAAAATCCATATTATACTGAAACTATTAAAAAATTTTAAAACTGCATACTTGGGACTTTTTTAATATTAATCTTCAAATTTTTTTTATTTTCTTCTAGTTTATATTTTTAACAAATAGAATTAAAACCAACGTGTATATATAATGGTATAGTTCATAATCTTTTTTTCTGTTTGTCCTTTTTACTTGACAGGGTCACACTTGTTAAAAACAAGATACTATAAATTCCTTTCCATTAGGGACTACAATGCACTAATTATAAACACTCAGCACAAAACATCAACGCTGTGTTAACCTCTGCATGTTCAAGTATTGCTGGGGGTCACAATAAAATCATTAGGTGTCCAAAACTGTACTAAAAAGACAATTAAAAACATACTGTCATGCCGTAATTAGATAATCGATCGATTTGTTTTGATGTATAATTGTCATCGATATTGTTTCTCAATAGAGAACTCCACGCAGAGCAGCACAGACATTTAGGCTTTCGGTCGTTTACTGTCAATGAAGACTCAACGTGACCGGTTCTTTTCCTGGTCGATATTGAGCTCAAAATATACCGATTTCTTGGGAAATATCTTAATTTATTACATAAAACTTTCAAAAAGTTTATATATATGAATCATTTGTTCATGTGCAACCCCCCCCCCCCTTAATCAATTTACAGTTTTAAAAACTAGATGATAAAACAAAAAGAGCTGTATTAATATGGGTAACTTCACAAATTTTCTTTGTTATTCTCTATAAATACAATAAATTTTAGTTAAATAGAGGTTCATCAGACCCCCCTCCAGTAACAATGAAAAGTCTCAAAAAAAGATCGAACCGTCAGAAAGGACGCATTGTTTTGAACATATTTTATTGAGCACATGAAAAGGATTGGAAACAAGTTCTATACAACTTACTAAGTTCCTCTCTTTCGCATGTATGTACATTGTCAATTAACCTACACAGATCCTCTCACTGCCCATTAATATTTTTCTAATATGGATAAAAAAAAAAATCGATGTTACTACACTTTCTTAAGTGTATTAAATTTTGAATTTAAAAAAAAAGACAGATAATGACAGCCCACATATACACAAAGGCTAATCTGTAGACGTCAGGGAACTGCATTTACGCATCTATATTGACAAAACTGAGGACTTTAAAAACCAAAGGGACACCATTTCCTATCATTTTTCATTTTGTCTCCTTAATACACAAAATACGTGTTAAAATCCCGACCGTGATTAGGGGAACGGAATCAATACTATGGTGTTTGTTTTGTGTTTACTTCTTATCTGGGTGTCGGGTGGTCCATGTTAGCTGACTTTCGGGAACCCGGGGCATCGATAAAAACTTTAATTTAAAAGATGGGAGATATCTATTATAAGCATGTGAATATGTGAGTACTGATATCCTAACTTTTTTTCAACCTGTTAAAATTAAATTAAAAAAAATACCTTATGTGTATGAAAAAAATCGACAAATTGAATATTTTTCATTCTTATTAGATTTCCAAGAAATAATAAAAATGATGAACATCGTCTGAGAGAAAATCGTAGATACTTTGTTATATATTCCTATATCTATATGGACATATTGAAAACTTATTTGAATAGATATAAAGAAAATAATTAAAATTGCACATCAAAAGATACTTCGATCGTATTCCTGGGAGACATTGTGTTAATTAAAGCCAGAGATATAGTTATTCAAACAATAGGACGAAGAATCGATTTAAGCTTAGTTTTTTTTTCTTTTTTGTTTTAATAATAAACTCATCAAATTTGTAGGTAACTCCACAACCGAGCCATGTTGACTTTCCTCAGCTTTTCCATCATAGCAGCACTTCTCCAAGATACTATAGGTGAGTACATTTCTCTCTTCCCTTCCCTTTATCTCCCCCGCCCTCTCTCTCTTATGATCCCACACACCTACAGATCGAAGTCAATGTATTCAAATTACTAACACAAAATCCTTTTTTTGAATATTTAACTTATTCCATAATATGTAGCTTTGTAGATAATTCTATTTTTAAAAAAATTCAGAGACAAAAGATGCGTGTGATAGAAATGGAAAACAAAAGATTTTCTTTCTTTTGCAAATTTCATAATATGCGTTTTTAATGCCGGCCTATTGTGTATTTGGGCGAGTCATGTTCTCTTACAATTTAAAACATCCTTACAAAGTTTTTGTAGACACGTGTAATATCAATGTATAATGTACACATGCGAATGTATAAATGTACCGAAAAACAAAACCAGAGGCATTTCAGAGAAAACCGGACGCATTTCAATAGTAAATTGATGACTGACGTCCCAGAAAAGTTTCGGAACTATTGGAGGGAAAAGGGGGTTCAGCCCCCCCCCCCCCGAATTCATGTGTTGTTAAAATTCTAATTGTTAAAATTTGACCCCTTTTGTTTGCTTGCTTCGAAATTAATGAGAAGTACTTTTTAAAAAATAAAATTCATATCAATCCCTCTCAGAAAATCTGTCATTCAAAGATTTGTAAAACTTAAAATATCTTTAACCTCTGATCCTGAATGGCCTTTAAATATCAAAATATACATGAAATGTAATCCTTTCTACATGTGAATTACAGTGAATCTAATTTTAAGAGATTATTCCCATGCTGTACATACATGCACTTAAAATGCTTTTGGCGATCTGCTGTTTTAATTCTGTATAAATATGTCTTCGAAAACAGACACATGCAGAGACCGAGGCTGTACCTGCTCTTGGTTTCATGTTTATCGCATGTTCCTGGATTTTTGAGTTTATCCATCTCGATGAAGTTTCTGTTTTTTCGTGGCCATCCATTTAAGCCTTCGGCCGTTGGAGTGTGTTTATCTTCTAAAGTCAGGCGTTGCCAATGTTTGCCCTGCTGAATCCCATGAAATGTTTGTAAAAACGAGATTCATCAAACTTTTTTGTCAGAGAATTGTTGCCCACTGCATTAACGCATACCAAGAGTGATAAAATTGCCCTGGAGTCTGTCAAAAACAGGCTTCTATGTGTTTGTACTGTTTATAATACACAATGATACGACGGTAGATAAACGACTCAATTTAACATATGTTTGTTTGCAAATTAATTGACAACAAAATAAGATTTGTACTTTTGTACTTGTGTAGGAAGGTTAAAATAATATATATATATATATATATATATATATATATATATATATATATATATATATATATATATATATATATATATATATATATATATATATATATATATATAATTGGTGTCTTGTGCCCTTTTCACCCGAGTCCCGCAGTGTGTGTATCTAAAGACGTAAAACGCTTTAAAAATCTTTATTTGTGCATGTTTATTTTATTTTGCTATTTTTTATTTAAACAAGTATATTTCAGCTTCAGTGATTTCGCCATATACAATGACATTGTAATTTCTCCAATGAAATACTTAGTTGTGTAAAATAAACACAAGAATTTTTGAGTAAAGAGAGATAACTCTGTAATCTTCGCATAATTTTTGGCGCAATTCTGTCACTTGACACTGCAACCGAACACGCGCGAAACGTGAGCACCGACACACTAAAGTTTCCAAAATACATACACACTTAGTGTTGATTACCCCTCATAATGAACAGAAAAAGGAAATATAAACTCGATCGGTATGCAAAATTGCTTTTAATTAATGACTAATCGACACCAGAGTCGAAATCAGTTTCAAACACCGCCGGTTTTAGCAGCCCTGGAAAACGATCCCACTCGTTTGAAGACATTATAGGCGCGTGTTTCTGTATACCTCTTCACATTAATAGCCCGGCCAAAAGCTCGAGGAAGATATAGTTTTAGATACAGAGGCAGATACGATCTCCTAGAATAATTGGAAACTGCAAGTGATATTTCAAACATTATCACTGCGCATCTAACTGGAATAGTTTAAATAATCTTTAAGCGTCCGAATTTTTTCTTTTGTTTTTGTTTTTCCTTGATAATCTTGTGCACAAATGTGAATGAATTTTTAGAATTGCATGGATTTATATTTGAATGAAGATATTAATCAATGTCTAATTACAACAAACTTATGCCAGATGGTTAAAATTCCTGGAAGTGAAATAGTTATAATTTTTTCGAAATGTTTGTGAAAATTATTGAAAAAATCTTGATATCACTTTTAACTTGGGTTAAAATATCAGAGAGTGACATTATTCATGATCACGAACATCACTTGGGGAATCGGACTTCAGAAATAAGTTTAAAATCCGGAAATAATTCACTCGCCCTATATGGTATTCTGGTTAATAGTCGATGGACCAGACCGGTTCCTGATACTTTTGTACCTCGTAAGTATTTATATGTAAAAATATGTAAGTGAAAGTTAAATTGAATTTGAAAAATCTCCAGTTGGAAAATTAATTTAAATGAAAATCTCCTGTAAATGAGATGTCTTATAAAATAGTCATTAAATTTAAGAAGAAAATAAATATAAATGTTCGATCTGCAATTAATCGCAAATTCTAAATGAAGGACCAGAAATAGCTTTCGATAAGAAGAATTAAAGAAAAACTCCATTTTCAAATATTGTTAATTCCCTTAATTCTTAATTTTCGTCATAGAACAAACGACCTCCCCTCGCAGCACTAAAGGAAAAAAAGATCATAATGATAATAATAATGACGATTAATAATTACAAAATCTGGTTAACTGCAATTGAGGATAACTTTTTAAAAGAATGTGCTGTACGGTGGCGGATCCAGGAATCTTGAAAAGGGAGGGGGGCCAAACCAGTTTGAAGTCAGGGTAAGGGCCCACGGCCACACACAAAAAATTGATTTATTAGATTTTATGTATATCTTGGACACAAAAGGGGGGCCCGGGTTCCCTCTAAATCCGCCAGTGCTATAAGTATACTTGTGTGAAGTAAATGCGACACATGTACATAAAAATGGGTAAAAAAGTTTTGTTATTGTTTATCTAAAATTCCCCGACACGTAATAATATAAATATTTCTATTTCTAATTGAACATTTTCTTTTAAAATAAATTTTACATGTATGGAAATGGAAAAATTATTAATTGTGGTTAAAAATATTTATTTCATTATATGCTGTGACCCCCCCCCCCCCCCGCCTTTGTTATAAGGAGACAAAATGGACAATTTATTTAGCAGTTCCTTACTCTCCACCGTTGCGGAGATCTATTTGGTAAACACATCCTCCCTCTAGGTACAAAATATTTGGATAAGTCGTTTGTTTGGTTTTATCAGCAGAATCTTAAACAAGGATGCACTATCCCCTATAAGTTTGTTTATTTGTAATATCAGACATGTCAGCTGCCCAAACTAACAGGTTACACGAAATCAGAAAAAAAACCTACGTCATTCATCTTTCCCATTTTATTTTGTTTGTTTAAGTGTTTGTTTAGCTTTTATTATTTTTTTTTGTTGCAGTCAATTATTAAATATCTATCTCAATATCTATCTCGATATGTAAGAAAAGAGAGACCAATTGTCTCGGATGAAATACACCTCTTTCCAATAATTCAATGGCTTTTAAAACACTTCAGAACGTGTAACTTCGTGCTGTGGCTTCCATGTTCAAAGAGGCACGTGTTGCAGAATTTTCTGTTGCATCGTTGAGCAAGTAAATAAAAACACGATTCTCTATAGTCACTACAAGTCTTTCAATAATTCCTTGATAAGCAGTAATTAAGGGTCCTCTTTGAACTCATTGATTATATTCTCAAAGACAGTTAACAAAAGATACAAGAATCGTGTACTTCTAGTTCCTTGAATGAAGTTTGGAAAAATAAAGGATGGAAATTACCAGGGTTATTATTTTTTTTTAATAAGTTGGAAGTATTAGGCTTTCATGAAGACTACAAGTTTAAAGTGATGAGCTAATTATAATTATCTCGAATAATTTTGTGTATGACCGAGAGCATTAAAAAATGCATTATCCTGCATGTCCAAATTAAGAATCAAAAATATTATATCTCTAAAGGAGAGCAGATAGTTATAATATTTTATATTGCACAAGTTGGTTGATCACTTTTAGGAAATAAAAGATTCACCTCCCAAGTTGTGTTAATCAAAAACTGAGCTGTTTTTTGTACATTTCAGCCCGACCAGAATTAGTGCTGGACGCCTTTCCTGCGCGGATCCACGAGAATTCCCCTCCAAACACTCTCGTACTTACAATAACCGCATATGACAATGCGACGGGTCAACCACTACAGAAACTGTCCATGGAAGACAATGAATTTACGAGATATTTCAAAATTACACCAACTGGAACCCTAAAATGGTACTTGTCAACCCGAAAGATAATGGACAAACCAGAAAACTACACTTTTGAATTCCGAGTTTTAGGATCGTATGGCGGAGTAGTAAGAGATACTGAGGTGAAAATTATCGTTTCATCAGAAAACCTTTACGCGCCATACTTTTCCAAGAGACTTTACAAGTTTGTGGCACTTCGGGATTCTCTTGACCATGACCTAAACACTCTTGGAGCTGTTTCTGCAACAGACAGGGACCTAAGGGGATATAATGCCATTTTCCGGTACTTTATATTTGAACCTGAAGCATCCAAGTATTTCAAAATTGATCCGGAAAATGGACAGATAGGAATAATATCTAATTTTCCAGATAATATGACTTCCATAGCTTTCAATGTTACAGCCATCGACTCAGGATCGCCAATAATGTCCTCGAGTTCCCAGGTGTACGTGGAAATCACAGACTTAGCACGTATGTAAAATCTTTTACTTATTTTTTCGTAAACTTTATTTAAGAGTTGGCAAAATTAATAGTTTAATGTGTCCGTGATACTTTTCTAGTTAATAATTTTGTCTTGTAACCGTGTCTTGATTAATCGTATATTTCGTTGTTGCAAACTATAAAATGAAACCAAAATGATATCAAATTGAAAATACGTGGCGTGAATTTTCTGATGTAAAATAATTGTTGTCAAATTTTCCCATTTCTACATTTGCAACCGAGACATCTGCAACAAAAATTGATGTCGATGTTTTATATAAAACACACAAAATACTTGATTATATATGTACGTGCGTTGAATAGTTTTGGAATGGTTGTATTCTTTACTTTGTAAAATATCAAATGACAGAAGCAGATTTCCTCCCTCAAAATTCCTGTTTGAATGTCAAAGAACTTTTCATCATAGTTCAAGTCAAAATTTAAAATATATATATATATATATGCAAGCTTTAATCTTCTCATGAAAAAATTAATATCATTTTTTGTTCTTAACAATGAAGTCTTCATTACTCACTTGTTTTGATATTAGTGACTAAGCTATTTCCCCTTTACTCGACCAACCAAGTTTCCTTATTTGGTAAAAACAACTCACGTGACAATAAAACATGTCAACTTCGTACGAGTTAACCAATTGCTTTTATCGCTGGAGGGTTCGACAGAAGAACAGAGAAAAGACAGTTGTCAAAATCAGTGCATGTTTATGATGAAATCAATTATTTCAGTGTACTTCCGACTCGTAAACTCGATTGTTAAAATGCATGTCTTTTTCAACATTCCAGAGACATATCATTGCGGTTTGTTTAACAAATAACTGGACATTTACAATGATTAAGTCTCTTGGTATCGATGAGTTTTATATACAGTCAAGTTAATCTTTTATTCACTAAGAATTTCAGTGTTCAAATATCAAGGCTGATATAAACTTACATCCGCAACTTTTATTAACATAGATTATTCATTTTTAAGCTGTCTTGACAATAAGTTACAAATTAGTTTCAGGAAGACAAGAAAATACATATATTTGTATCCCTAAACTAACGAGTATTATAATTATAATTTACAATCTATAGATAAAAAAGAATTCATGATAAATTATTAACTAAAAGAAGTATTCTCAGTATTAACAGATAAAACACGTAACCTATGATGATCATTTATACAAAGATTTACAAATAAACTAAAAAAAAATCTATGTGGAATATGAATGGTTCCTTGAAAGTTTCAGCAAGAATTTGGTAGGTCCCTATATTGAATACTGATAAAAAAAAAAGAGGCATTGTTGGTATTGATTCTTATCCATCTCCATGAACTACGTAAATACTGCGTTTGTCTGTCCAGTGCCTGTCCGTAATTAAAGATTCCAAATCTACGATCTGACATTATCTTTGGTAAATAATGGAAACCAATCAACGCGTCTTTATAAAACGATTTAGCTAGGACTTGGCATTTGAAAGCGGCAAGAAAAGGCCAGAACATAAAGTTAAATCCTAGTGGATTAGATTGTCCGTCAATCCATTTGTTGTTGGCATTTTAAAACTTCTCTTACTTTGCTAAAGCAAACTTCTTCGGAATCTCAGTTGATAAATCACCACGCAATTGATAATTGATCTTCGGAAATCAGAAAGATCGGAAAGACCAGCTGAATAGACCTCTACGGTCCGTTAGGTTGATAAATCAGTATGTTATTGATTATTGATCAATAAAGTAAAAGGGAGTTCCGAATGCTGAAAAAGAGCCCCCATCGAAACAGGTGCGACCGCTCGTGCTAAGTAGCCGAACACGCTTAGAAATATACAGGTAAAAACTCCGCACTCTAGAGTCGTCATCAAGATAAATGGTCACTCCAGGGCAGTGCACAATTTTATCTGTTCAGATGTGCGTGTGATGAATTTATGCCTTTCTTAGTGATTCTGTGATCTTTTTCGTCACTTTTTGTCCTTGCTATTTTTTCTCCATCTTTTCGTTTTTTCTGGATAAATATTTTGTGGTCCGTAGAAGTGTCATAATTTGTGTAGTTCAGTTTCGAGCTCTTCAAAATGAAGGGAATTGCTTTCTTTGAAGGAACAAATATGTTTAGAAATGACGGAAATGATTAATGATAAAAAAGGTTCCAATATTTTGGAGGATTGTACGCATTTCATAGAGGAAAAAAAAAGTGACGACAAAACTATTTCAGTAGCTGCGAGGATGAGATCGAGACCTTGATTTAAATACCTAAAAAAAGGGAGTGCGCGTGTGAAATCCTTAAATCGTGTCTTCAGAGTTTTAGTCCAAGTTTTTCCCCCAACATGGATGTGATCTCAGTTACTTTATCATTTTATTTCACTATAGCCCCTGAAATATTTTGCGTGTCCGTGGAAGGTACCACAGCTAGAATATGTTGGAAGGACAACACCAATGGGTCAGTGGTGGATCATTACCAGCTTCAGTTCGCCATTAACGGTCAGAATGTGACCAGTCACCCAGTGGGAATTGTGGGTAAGAGAGATGAAGTCTGTACCCAGGTCAGGGCCGGGAAACTGGAGGCCGGAAACCGTCTGAAATTTACTATTAAAGTCTTCAACAAAACACACTGGAGTCCCGAGAGTGTGGAACGATTCGTCAACATTACCAAGAACGGTAAGATTTAAACTTGACTTAGAATACAGTAAGTCTTTCACTTGAGCCTTTCATACGACTTATTACCATGAAACATGTTTTAATCTACTCAGAGATCATGCAGGCCATTTCAAATCATGCACTCTTTTAACTTTGTATCAGGTCTTTAGAATCTTTGGTAATGAACCAGTCAACAAGACTAAAAGTTATTCAGTTCATGTGCGCATTGCTCCTTTGCCGTAAAGAAGAACATTTGAAAATGTATTCATGCATCTTATTATATTATTACCATATAAAAAAAAAAAATTTTTTTAGTTAGATAGCAAGTTTCTAATATATCAAAATTTTGAAGTTTTAGATTGAGTTAAGTATTCAGTTCGTCCATTGTATGCGGACATGATTTAGAATGTAGACAACAATTTGATCAAGCCGCTTTTGATTTCTTTTTGAACATTTAAAGATAGAAACAGGAGGCTTTTGAAGGTTAATACTTTTCTTGTTTTTGGTAACCGGTCATGGATACTTTCTGGCAAACCGACATGAAAAATTGTGTAAACATTCCGGAATTACAGAGACTACACGAATCGGTCTCCGTCGCCTACCGGAAGTGAGAATTTCATATCTATCCAACCAAATAGATCGTTCATGACTTATTTGTCGATAAAAGATCATTCTTTCATGACTTTAAGCAATGTACTGATTAACAATCACATATCGCTAAAGCAAAATTGCTTCTCAAAAAATAAATGGAATCAGTTTGAATTGTATACCAACATTACAATGCATTTGCTCCAATCCAAACGCACTGCACCGATCTCAGAATTAAAGTTTCAGAAATCATTACTAATGAAGCCAAAATCTTTCCCCAATTTTTCTTTTCGTTAATCTAGATTTTGCACCTCAGCAGATTCTTACACATTTAAATCGATTTCTAGGCCCACCCACCTAACTTGTTCGCATTTTGCACGTAACTCAGCCATCAACCGGTATCCTACAGGTCGTTCCATAGTCACCGAGGTATTCAAAGGAAAGATTGTTTATTTTATGTTTTCTCAATGATAAATCTTTTTAAAAAAAAAAAAGTAAGGCTATTACCTTTACGGTGTCTTAACGTATGTTCACGGATATCAAGAGATAAAGTACCTTAATTATGCTTTTCAAATAGCAAAGCGCTATCTTTAATAAATTTTCAAAAAAAGATTCAACGTGTTATTTCATTAACGGCAACTTCAATTAAAAAAAAAGTGTTTAAAACTCTGCTAGCTGCCTACAGTAAAATATGTAATTTTGTATTTTGTTTTCGTCCAACAAGTGCTTATAAAAATGAAGAATTCGATTCAAGTGCAATACATCGTTCAAGAGTGTATTTCAGCCAGATATACAAGTATATGTACAGTGTTTTTCTCACTGTTAAAAGTGCTGCCATTTTGGACCGGTGCACTTCAACTATTCTTCAGAACGGTATAGAAAACATGGAAAAGCGGTGTTTTTATTACAAGTTATTTCATAAAACGGCAATAACCATTATTCAAGAGACATTAAAACGCTAAGGTGGCCACCGATCATTTGTCTTCAACCTGTATCGTAAGTAAAAGGGAAGGCAGGTTTGTACACAGCTCGAACCAGGAAAACCTCGTGTTACGTGTAGTTTCTCTTCATTGTGACAGGTCACTAAAACAAGTGCGTGAAAATTTTTCAAATTCTTTTATATTTATTAATTGGTACAAAAACATACTTGGAGAGTGCTGAGTTAATTATTTTTTTCAAGTTGAAACTTTCAGTTCAGATGTCGTTATTTTCAAATTGAGAGAAAAAAGTAAAAGACAATTTCCTCATGTCTGAAAAGAAGTTTATTAGAACATGACATGGTTGCATGGTCTAAAAATTCCGACATTAGACGAAAAATGTAACACTGATTGTACAACATTCACGGCTTTCAAATACATTACATTAACTTATTGATGGGCGAGGTTAATCACACCATACCCACTACCTGGAACTGATTCCGATTCAATCTTTCGATAGAAAACAGATCACTTCGTTTTCATCAATCGGCCAACAAATTGACGCAATTCAATTTCCTTCCTTGTTAAACACGTGGTAGATAATTGAATTATTTCTCGATTTACACAATATTTAGGGCAATATTTAACAGTTTGATGATGTTAGAGTATAGATACACACTGACGTTATTTCGTCTTCTTCGAAAGAATTGCTCTCAGCAGTAGCTTCGCATACAGATAGATAAAACCGGAAATTTTGCGAATCTAGCTGTTTCTCAACACATTAAAAAATACACTATAAAAAATGCCACACTTCCTAATTTCGGACAGTTACACCAAATACACGTGTCTTAGACCTTATAATGACATTGTATACATTATAGAACTGACCAGGTGTTCTTTTTATATATCTCATTCATCATGTATAATGATCATCACGTGTCAATGAATATGCATTTAGCTATACATGTAATTAACAAAGAGACAACAAATGCCAGAAAGACATTATTAAGAAAAGAGAAGAGCACACTGGTGTAAAACAAATAATATCTATATTTGGACCCTATGCGTTAGATAACTCTCATAGCAAGATAGACTTAAAATTTGTACAAAGCAAAAAATTATTAATCGATTAATAATATATGTTTTGGATAATACTCGGGTAGAAAACAAGGTCAATCACCCCCCCCCCCCCCCAAAAAAAAAGAAACAAACGAACGAACAAACGAATGAACAGTTACTTGCGAGTCTAATATTCATTCTGTGATAATGAACTACGAGTGTTCGATTCGAATCTGAATTATCGACGTTTACTTCCGGTCTTGCGTAATGAGGCGCTAATTCGCTTTCACTGAAAGTAGATTTAATTCTTGCATTAAAAGCAGAATAATTGTTTTAAAAATCCCAGACATATTTCATTGATGAAGATAGTTTTACAATCTAAATAATTTGTTGAATATGATAAATGAACTTTTCAAAATGCCAAAATTTTGTTTAGATGTCAATTAGAAAAGCCGACGTTTTGGCCATTTACATTTTAAACAAACAAAAAAAAAAAAACTAGTTATATATCCTAATCTACACTCTGACGAATTTCCTACTGAACAGTAGACATAAGTTGTTAATACGTATCTTGATATTTATACTGCAGATGAAAATTCAGGTAAGTTGAGATACTCTGTGTTGGACACTGGTGATATATATTTCATTACTTACATGTATATATCATGTAGTATTGTCTTTTGTCTTACAACTTGTTTTGTACTGTTACAGTAATAAATCCAATCATAGTAAATTATGTCTTCAATGTTTATCCACGTGTCCATTTTTAACACCATTTGTACATTGCTAAATATACGCTCACTAATGGTAGATTATAATGTACAGAAAGTTTTTGTGTACGATAAAAATAACAAATTGGGGCATACTCGTTGAAATTATTAGTTGTTTATCATATTCATGTTCAGTGATGTCAAAACGATTATATCTTTCAAAGTTTTTTTCTGTTAATGTAAAATCGCAAATTTGTTCTCATCTTCATATATTTTATGAAAATTCTACGAAAATACAGTCAAATCTCGTTATCTCGAACTAGATGGGACCAAGAAAAAACTTCGATATTCTTGGATTCGAGATATCAGGGGTAAAATATTTGAAGAATAAGTGGTTATGACTTCCAAATCACTTTGACATAACCATGATATTGGAGATACCAGCGTTCGAGATACCGAAGTTTAACTGTAGTGTATACTAGCTACTGAAAGCAAGACCTATTCACTTTTCACTATACTTTCGGTTGTTTCTGATAAATAATGATATGACGTAAGTTTAATTGTGGAAAATACTCTATGTACCTAGCATATATATACTTCATATTACATCTGTTTGACTGTTCTTTATGACGTCAGTATAGCTATCTCAGCGCCAAAGAATGACCAATCCATCGAAAAAACTGTAATACTATCACACTATTTTTTTTTTAAATTATAGTATTTGTATTTTTTAAGGGTTATATGGAGACTGTCCAAGGTTTAGCAACTGCAGTGTATTTCAGCCTTGCCAAAACAAAGGAGTTTGTTTGACCGAACCCGATCTGTCTTATAAATGTGACTGTGCAGATGGTTGGGCTGGGCGTAACTGTACGGAAGTAGATAAGTGTAACACGAACCCGTGCTTAAATAATGCTAAGTGTGAATTTGTATCCAGTAACAATTTTCGTTGTAATTGTCCCTCTCATTATTATGGAAATCTGTGTCAATTTCATGATAAGTGTGTTTCTAATCCGTGTTTGAACAGTGGAACTTGTTTTAAACAACCGAATGGAAGTTTTCATTGTCAGTGTCCAGAACACTTTACCGGTAGTTTATGTGAAACCGAAATTCTATGCTCACCAAATCCTTGTGAAAATGGAGGAACATGTACTTCCGCTTCCGGAAAGTTTTCTTGCAGTTGCCAGGATGAGTACATGGGCACAACGTGCAATATTCTTAATATCTGCAAATCCAACAACCCTTGTGAAAATGGGGTTTGTAGTATGTATTCTGATGGTACTTATAAATGTTCGTGTGATGAAGGTTTTACAGGAGTAAACTGCTCAGAGAGAGATGCCTGTCAGCAAAACCTTTGTGAGAACAATTCAACATGTTTGAGAAATGAAACAACGACACATTGTATGTGTTTGGATGGTTATTACGGGGATCTCTGTCAGCATTATGATAAATGTCAGAATAACCCCTGTGATAATGGCGGAACATGTAATTCGCTTTCAGATGGAAGCTTTGAATGTTTATGTGAAACAGGCTTCAGCGGAAAACTCTGTGACGAAGCAGATCCTTGTTCGTCTAATCCATGTCTGTATGACGGAACTTGTCAGAAGAAAGAGAATTCTACGTTCTCATGTGATTGTGTCACTGAGAAGTACGGCCCCATCTGTGAGCATACAGATGGATGCAAGCTTAACCTGTGTCAAAATAATGCCACGTGTAAGAACATCTCAACTAATGGTGCCATCAATTGTACGTGTAAAGACGGGTTCTTTGGTACCTTGTGTGACAGATTTAATCCCTGTGACTCCAGTCCATGTCAGAATTCCGGAATTTGTCAAAATCTCACCAACAATGGCTACGTCTGTCATTGCCACAGCGGCTGGACTGGAAGTCAATGCCAGTACAAAGACTTGTGCCTTGACAATCCTTGTCAAAACCATGGGTCGTGTCATCCGCAAAATGATTCCTTTCACTGCGACTGCAAACCCGACTTTTACGGAGAACGATGTACCAAATACCGATTTTGTACCGCGGGAAAACTGTGTAGAAATGGCGCCAACTGTGATTTACTGGATGTTGACGTTCGCCAGGTGAAGATTAACGGCAGTTCAGCTAACGTCACCAACTGGTACAATTGTAGGTGCCCTGACGGGTTTACAGGTATGATCTATGTGATCTACGAAGTATCTACGAACTAAATTAAGATCCCTGTTCTCTGTCGTAACTGATTAGTTTTCCAATTTATCTTTTTCATCTAAATCCATGAACAACTAACTTAGATTATATATATATATATATATATATATATATATATATATATATATATATATATATATATATATATATATATATATATATATATATATATATATATATATTATATATATAATTAGAGAATTTACTATTAACGAATTAATTAATTAAAAGTAGGAGAATTTTAAATGATATATTTGTTTATACAATAATGTATTACGTGTTTATATTTAACACTTGAGAGTTTTCCTACAAACCAAAAAGGGCATCTGAATGACCGTATTAAACCCCTAGAAATCGCGACAGTAATTACCTAGACAACACTAACAGAGTATATATCGAAACATTTGAGATCTGCTCTTTCATTTGGGTTTGTGTTTTATGTTGACCACAACACAATGTAAGAACAATAAATGTCAACTCAACTAAGAATTAGCTGTCCAAAACAAGGTTCCTCTCAACGTAATCATTTCCTGTATTGCTGTATGCTTTATTTAGTACTAGTTGTACTTATCTGAAACTTTAGTAGAAAACATTTCTCTTTGTTGAAGAGCTTGGGATCATTTCCAGGTCTCGGCATTTGTATGGTGAATTGTCCACTCTCTAAGCTATACGTTCTCATTTGATTAATTTGTTGTTGATATCCTTGGGTTGGTCTTAAACTAGAATGTTATCAATGTGGAAAATATTTTTATTGTTTATCATAATACACCGTCTACTTTACATGACTTAACACTAGAACATTTTTAAATTGGGATATGGAATTTGGTTTATTAAAATTTTTACAAGCTTATGTTGAGCAAATTATACATAAAAAGAATTCATCAGACACTTTTACACAAATGAATTACGCCCTGTCGAAGATAAGAAGGAAAGATGTCAAACCTCATTATTAATGACACCATCACATAGTTATATACTGTATATCTTTTTGGGCAAACAGTTGATATTTTCTTACAAGGTTTAAACCAGTAATTTATCTTGAACCCCTGAGATGTGAAATGTTAAGTTCATTCTAAGAGATAGAGACATCATAACATAAAACAGATCGCTCAAATGTTCAGAAAAATTTACAATGATCATTATGTATCATAGATATAGAGAGCTAAAATATACATAAAACTACAATTAATATTGTACACTGTTTGTAATAGAGAGCTACACTGTTTATGATGAAAAAACAGAGAGCTACACTGTTCATAACATACAACATAAAGCTACAATATTTATTGCATTAAACAGAGAACTACAATATTTATTACATTAAACAGAGAGCTACAATATTTTGTGTACATTAAACAGAGAGCTACAATGTTTATTACATTAAACAGAGAGCTACAATATTTAATTTCTTACATTAAATAGAGAGCTACATTGATCATTATATAAAACAATAATCTACAATATCTATGACATAAAACAGAGAGCTACAGTGTTGATTGCATAAAACGATGAGCTACAATATTTATTTCATAAAATAGAGAGCTTCAATGTTCATTACATAAAACAGAGAGCTACAATATTTATTACATAAAACAGAGAGCTACAATATTTATTACACAAAACAGAGAGCTACACTGTTCATTACGTACTACATTGAGCTATACTGTTTTGTATTACAATGGTCATTACATAAGGCGATGAAGCAACATTTAGTACATAAAACAGAGAGCTATTCAATGCAAAAAGGGGGCCACAGTGTTCAAAATATAAAGCAACAGTATCCGTTGCATAAAACAGAGAGCTATAATGTATAAAGTGTGATGTTAAATTGTCATTACATAATAAAGCCAAAATGTTTAATTCATATTTAAAAAGTATCACTCTACAACTGAGTACGTGTATTTCTGTCTGTAGGCATAGCTATTTAAGAAATCAAATTACCAATTAATTGGCTAAAATCTCGGAAGTATACAAATTCAGAAGATAAATATTGAAGATAAGATGACATGAACATCGGAAAAGGTGAAAGGAAGTATGTTAGATTAAATATGATTCCCTATCTCAATCTTGTCAATATAGACAGATAAACTGTATCAGACTTGTTAGGAGTTAATCAGTAAATTAACGATTAGGCCAAACAAAAAAATATGTGTGGTTCCGGTTACACTTCCAAAAAAATTAGGGTAGGTAGGTAGGGATTTTTTTTTTTTTTTTTTTTTTTTTTTTTTTTTTTTAACAAAATGTTTTTCTTAATTTTTCTAAATAATACCTATCACTGCTTTGCAAATGGCATTTAGATGTGATGTTATAATATACTAGTCAATATTGGTAGGGGACACCTACATGCTAGCTTGCTTTGGACTTAATACTATTAAACACTTGCACTATGTTTTGCAAGGAGGCCGTCATTGCTGAAACTAAAACTTAATCCGGAGCCATTGACGGAAATCGGGGCAAATTCCGGAAAAAATATGAAAATTGCCAAAAAAAAGTTTAGGGTCGGGGGTATAAAATAGGGAAGGTCGGGTAACCGGAACCACACATATTTTTTTATTTGGCCTTAGAGAGGAGATTTATTTTTTTTTTCCTTTAGACATACTTATTAATCAACATCCAAATCACTCAAAAACAGTATATGTTAGGAGGAAGTTCTAAGCTGATCAAGAGATTTGACCAAGTGTTATAACACTCTGTGGATATAAAGATATTTTCGCTGATAAGGTTTAGGCGGCAGGTTAATCTCATTTTATATGCCGATTGTGAGATTTGAAGAGGCACACAAAATATTGTCAGTGGAAAGATCAGCAAGGCTTTTTCTTCTTATAAAGTCTGGTATTTACTAATCATATTTTAATATTCATTCTTAAATGTATGACCCCTTCCCTCTTCCTTTATTTTCCCCTTTTTGTCTACTCCCTCGGAGTTTTCCCTTCGCTTTTGTTGCATTTGAAGACCGTATAAAAAACTGAAGAAAGTTCTGAACAACATTTAAATTTTACCTCAAAGACATGCAAGATTATAATCTAGGGACTTGATTCAGAAACGGGCTGATAATTTCTAGTCTTCAGATTGATTTAAATTCCTTTCCTTTTAATTAATGACTTTCTCCAGGATTGAAATCACCTAAAAGAAAAGAAAACAAATGTTTCTTGTGTAAAACATTATGCTTTGTTGAATATTTTCTTTACCTTGACAGCTTATAGTCATTAATTAATGCACAGGTTTCAGCAGCTCAACCCAGTTTTTGTTTACCTACTGACAAAACATAAGAAGAAAGTTAATTTGCAATTTATCATCTCTTCTATGTTTATTTTAAAAGAAAGAAGATTACTTTTTAGGAAAAGTGAAATTAACACATTTATACAAACTAGTAGATCACTTTGTAGTATAATCTTTTTAAGAAATAAATTTTAGATTAATGAAAAAAATTAGATATCCTTACTTAGTCGCTAGCTTTAGGATTTTTTTTTTAAAAATCTGAGTTGAGGCAATTTAAACAATAATTATAGGGAACATCAGAATCATATTCTTTACCTTTCAGATAAGATTTATTATTTGAAAAATTATCGACTTAAAATTTCTTTCTAACAGTCTAATTAAAGGTACTTTTTAATCACTTATTTTACACTTTTGCGACGATGTTTTATATTTTCAATCGGTCAAAAATAAGAAAATAAATAAATAATGCAAAACAGCTGGATGTTTATATTCTGATGAAATAAAACCTTATCTATTATTAATCTTAAGTTTATATCTAAAGTTGAAAGTTTCTTTTCTTTTTATCAATGAAAAATTAAAATTTCCTATACTTATATTGTCCTCTATCGAGCTATCTTGTTCTCTATATTCCATCAGCTTTCACCGACATACTTTCTGGTATTAAAGTACGCTCGTGCGGCTTCATGCATTGTTAATTGGTTAAAACTTATCGGAAAGATAAAGAATATAGATCCGATGTTCTCATTCTTAATTGACTTTTCATTCATATTGTAAACTCAGTTTTCATGTCGTGTGCATTCAAGAGATTTGCACTATAAAATAAAGAGCGAGAAAAGTACAGAAACTTCGCAAATGTGCAGTGGACTTCTCGTAAATGCTAGTATATGAATTAAATAAAAGAAATCAATAGAAAGGAATATATAATGTAAGATACTTAGGTATTTCCTTATTTTTTTTTTTTTTTACTTCTTTTACTTAATATAGACTTGGTTACAAAGAAAAGTTTGGAGAAAAAAAAAAGAAATTCGCAATAAGACGTAAATAAAACGTCTTATGTCATCTGAAAACTAATTTTATGACCTGTTCCTAAATCTTTTGCCGGAAGTAAAATTCATTAAAACGTTGAAAAGTGCAAACTTTATGAAGAATGCACTGAAAGAGACAGAACACACACTTTCTCTGGAGGGGTGAACTGTTGTACTCAGATACTTGCCTGAAGCATCCAAAAAACTCTTGCAAACTGTCACTCTGGGTGTTTATTTCAAAATTTAAACAATTTAAATCTAAACACTTTATCGAAATGTTTATCTCTAAGTCAGGCGCACTGATTACTCTTTTTTATCGAAGATAAAATTTAGATGAAATCCAAAGAAAGAAAACTTTTTAAAGATTTTATTTATTTACGTGCTTTATTTGATAAATTGTTTTACTTTGGGCAAATTAAACCTGATACATTTACCATATGTACTTAATGCAGAGTCAATCTGTATTTTGTTATAGACAGTCGTCTTTTGAAACGGAGATACAATCGGAGGATTGTAAACTGAACACTTAGAAGATCATGCAGTGACATTTTACAAATCAGAGAATATTTACATTTGCAAATGTTTTTCCTTATATAACACTATTTGAACAAGGCGTTTTTACACCTGTGTAAAACACGTTCGTCATGTGACCATAAAATGATTGTTTAGTCATAAACGATCCACGTAATTTCATAGTGACGTCATAAGTGATCTACGTGTTCAACACATTCAAGTTATACCGTTGAATTTTGAAAAAATAAGTCATTTATATGTTTAAAACTTTAGTACCTTACTATTTGTAATAAATCAGGCACAAATGTAAATATAAGTAATAAGGTATCATTTTAAAAGTTTTATCGGGATGTAAATACGGGTTGGCATGTGATCAAATCTACCATAAAGCCCTTCGGGCTTTATGGGATTTGATCACATGACCAACTCGTATTTACATCCCGATAAAACTTTTAAAATGATACCTTATTTCTTAATTAACATTTGTGCATATGACTAAATGTTACAAATATTGATTAAAAAAAAAATCAGTACAGCTTTCTTTTCAGTAGGCTAAGGGCTACTTTTAAAAATGCCCAATTATTATTTTTAAAAAAATGAATGTAATAAAGGCTTCGCAAAAAAATTCAATAGTAGCAATATTAGTTATTTAATGCAACTTTTAAGCAAATGTTATCTTCATTTTTTTTTCATGCTTTTCTGGATTGAATTAAATAACCCTCTTCACATGAAATTAGGACACGTTTTATTTCAAGCATAACTTGATTTTATTTTTCTTGTCACCAGAAACTGTACATGTTCATCGAAATTTTTATAAACGGCGACATGGTTATTCAGATGCCGCATTTCAGGCAGCCATACAAACATCAAGCATTGACCTTTAAGTCATGAAGGTCGTCTAATTTTGCGCTTGGAACTGCCTTTTAAACATTTCCTACATGGAGTATGAAGTGTTGAAAGACCACTGGCCTGTATTTACTAATGAGGAACACTTGATTTATCCAAAAATGTTAAGTTTAATTATCAAGTCTAAATTATGTAGAAAATATATTATGTTTGTTTATTTAAAGTTCTATGCACAAATACAGATTTTAAATCAAAATTTCAATCAAAATAATTTAAAAAAAAAAAAAAAAAAAAAACAAATGAAAATTCTTTAAGAAATAAAAGGTAAAAGAACAATAAACATTTTTTTTTTCAATTCGATACTCGTTACAAAGTTAAGAGGAATACTTGTAACTCTATTAGACGTCTATGATTTTAAACGCTTTGCATCTTTTTGCAAATTTAATGATTTTTTTTATATAAATTTACAGGTATTCATTGTGACCAAGTAGCCAGAGCGTGCGAGGGGGACCCATGTGGGTCTCGTGGAGTATGTCAAGAGCACGGTTCCGACCATGTCTGTTATTGTCTGGATGGGACCAAACGTCGGACATGTGTCAATGGTAAAATTATATACAAATTTATATAGAAATAAAATATATTCTTTAACAATATTTATATAAACAATAAAAAAAAACAAAAACAAACAAACGAAAAATTAAGGAGAAAGGGCCCTCTTGTAAGAGAGATAACTCATATACTGGTAAATTACTGAGTGTTTTCTTCAACAATGCTAGCTCACCTATAACAATGATTTGCCCCCACTTTGCCCTGTACGGTACACAAACATTGCTTGAATTTCATTATTTATACCCATTCTGTGTTAGAAAATAAATTGTCCTCGTTATTGGCAAATTACAATTTAGTGAGCGTAGACGATCTTATTAAATACAATATAGATAAAATTTTAATAAAAATGTAATATCTATGAATTGCGTTTTATTTTTTCAAACAGAATTCTGTCCCAAACAGGACACTGCATTCGACCGCACTGGTCGCCATCACTGGCCGAAGACATTGGCTGGAGTTGAAGTTTTCCTTGAGTGTCCACATGGTACACTCAACAACTCTCCCAATGGTTTTGCATCTCGGAAGTGCGAGACCGACTCTGAAGGAAGATATAGATGGCTACTTCCAAACACCAAAGATTGTGTTAAGGTATATTATCTTTCTTGAAGTATGTTTTATAATATAGTTACACAATGATATATTATTGTTAAAAATCAGTAGTAAAAACCCGGATATTATATGAAATATGAAACCGTTCCTGACAAATCTTGAAGTAAACGCTCATATTTAGAAAAAAAAACCCTTGAATTGGGATAAAATACAATCTAAAAAAAATCAGAATAAAATACAATCTAAGAAAAAAAATCAAAATAAACATGCGGAACACTGACTTGTTTAAAACTGTGTAACTTCTGAATTCGAATAAATGTACCTGAAATGTATGCAAAAATATTTTTAAAATTGATACTGGATGTTAACACAATATTAAGGTCAATGATGTTCTGACTTGCTTTATATTTAAACCTGCTGCACGTGATTAAAGATATAGTTACTTTGAAGTTTGACATTAAGCCAGGGATATCTGATATATTACCTCTTTAACAAAGAGTCAAAGCCGTTATTGCTTGAAAGGGAGGTAATTTCAAATGATGCATCGTAATTATGTCAACAAATTCATTTAACTGTCACTCAAAAAAAAAAAAAAAAAAAAAAAAAAAAAAAATCCAGCATTGGCATTTAATTACGTACTTCCACATAGTTATGTCTAATTGTTTATGCTCTAATTAAATACGTAACTGATAATGTATCACAAAATTTCAAAGCATATAACAAATTATGAATATGATAAATTGCATTAAACAAAACTCAACCTAATTCAGACTAAAGTGTGTTATAAGGGGGGGGGGGGGGGGGGTGTGAATGCATTGTATATGAACTAAAGCACCCATATTTTATTTCAATTGTTAAAATGTATTATTCGGTCTTTTTCGTCTTTTAGTTGTCTCCTGCAGAAGCTGACGTCAGACTCCATGACCTTGTGTCTTTTACAAAGGACGGTAAATCTCTCACATCAGAAAAGGTGGCCTCCGTCACTAATGACCTTGAAAATCTCGCAATGTTTGCCAATGAAAATGAAGGTGTAAGTGTGAAAAAAGATACTTATACCCAATAAGTGAAGTAAATTGAATAAAATTAATGTCAGAATTCTCTGAAATTTTAAAGTTCTTATAAATCTGACCATTTTAAATTTTTTTTTCAGATTGCAAAGGAGATGACGATTGTGATCAGTAACATTCTGGAGGCAAAAGAATCAGTTCTAATTGAAAGTGACCACAAAAATCACTCTAGTAAACGGTCAGACATATTGATTAAAAAGAATCCTAAAAATATTAATTGTCAGATCACAAAAAAATCTTTCATTGATTACGGAATAAAGTGTTTTTTTTTAAGGGGGAGGGGGTATTTATCTTACTTACTTTCTCAATCCACAAAATGTTGAGTCGGCAAGATTTAACAGAAAAACATTTCTTAGTCTTTTTATTTAACTCAACACATTTTCCAATTCATGTTAATATATTTAAAACCTAATACTTAGAACAAGACATAGAAAAAAAACTTCGATTGGTTATCAATTTTATAATGCTTTTGAAAAAAGAGATTTATTATTCAACTCGTGCACTTTCAACAAATTGACTACATTGACACCATATCCAACTATGGTCACAAAGTAACAGGGCACAATCGAACTGACCGCGTCAATGAAGTCTTTTTCTTGGTCATCTGTCAAAGTGGAAGTGACCAAGAGTAATCTATTTATAGACATGATTAATAGCCATCCAGAAAACGCAGGACGCAAAAAAATTCTTAAAAGCAAGTGTACAAGATCATTCGTACTTATTCTAATTAACTCAGAGACTTTTTAAACTCCAAAATAAATAAATAAATATAAACATTTATTATTGAAAAATGCTTGTAGTGTGAAGAATCGTCGGCCGGCGTCTTGGACATTTCAATGCCAGTTACAAATACATTTTACGTTTTCTATGTAGAAAAAATCCAATTTCGATTAGTAGTATAATACATAAGCGTTCATTATGTGTCTAAAATTGAACTAGTTTATCTCACCAAAAATCTTTAATTCTGGAAAGAATTTAAAATGAAATAATTCTTTAGCACTTCACTTCAGTTCTACAATCTATTACCCTCCGTGTCTGTCCTGTGAATACAATGTCAGTGACTGCACTAACTTCACCTATTTGACGCTTTCATTCTTATGTAATTGATCCAACATCTCTATAGACTCTCAAGACTGCGATTCATAAAAATAAGTACAGTTATTTGGGAAAAAAGAAGTTTATTACATCGCATTGGCACTTCCGCCCACCTGCAATAGATATGTAGATAGAATAAGCAGAAACAACACTTTCGTAGACGTTCTTGAAATTATTGCCTCTTCAAAAGCTCTCTAGTAATAAATTGTTTATTGCATTAGTATTTATTTATAAACCGTTTGAGAACATTTAGAACGTGTATATAGGTGAATGTTTATCTTGAATCTTAACTTTCTTTTAAAACATTTAGGTTTCTGTTCTGTTTATATAATTGTTTTAATCTATACAATATATTTAATTTAGAGAATTGTCTTATCATGCCTTGAATGATACAAAACCAAGTCTTTCATATAAAAACATAAAATAAAATGTTGTTGTAAAACGATGGAGTTTCTTACGAAATATCAAACTTATTGTTCTTTAAAAACATTGTAATTCCTTTTGAAATATATCAACGGTTAGATTTCCTGTTTTCAGATTGGTTGAATTGCTGACGGAGTACGCAGACGCAGTGATCACAGAAAACACTTCCTCTATAGCCACTGACAACATTAACTTACTAGTTGTCAACATTACTGACAAAGGGGATCAGGATTTCATCTACAAACCCACACTGACAGATAATAAAACAGAGGATGTAAGCCTACATACTTTAAGCTGCCAATGTTTACTTTAATTCCTCTTAATGTACTCATATAATCCTCATCTCTTTGCAAAGAATTATAAAGAACTGAAAGATGTTGAACATGGCTTGTTTTCTTTGGTTTGTTCCCAAAGACAGTTATGTTTTTGAGGGAGAAACTGTTGTGTACAGTGTCCATATACAAACTTGCTTCTTGTGAATTGATTCCATAGGTACATCGTATTCTAATTTGATAATCAAGTTATAATATACAAAATTTAAGAAAGTATATCACAGATTGAATTCTACTTATACTCCGATGTATGATATATATTGTAGATTTATACAATAATATTCTTACACCTCGAAAGGAATTGGTCAGTTGTATACCTAAATCACTTTAACGTTTCCTTTTTAAAACACCACGCTAAATTATTTTTAATTTGGACAGACGGGTGTAGTGCTGAATGTTCCAAAGGAAGTCATGAAAACGTCGGCCAAAGCCAGCATGAAACTTCAGATCATTACTTACCGAACCTCCGCTTTCTTCATACCGGAAATCCCTACTCCTGAAGAAATAGTTCTCAAGCAGAGAGTTTTGTCGGCGACCGTACAAGGAGTGAAAATTAAGAATCTTTCCAACCCAATCCACTACACGATTCCAAACATTGAGGTAGCTCTGTTTGAAATGATGTCATTTGATATCTCTTTTATCACATATATAAAAACTAAAGCTAAAAAAAATAAACAAACTAAAAACATTATTTTATATTTTCCTCCTTTTTATAGTCAGAGGCAAATCATACGTGCGTGTACTGGGAACAAAACAGTAAGCTATCCTTATCAATAGATACATTTTTTATGTCAATGATAAGTTAAAATATTTTGAAAAGTGAAAATTCCAATATAATGTTTATTACAAGCAAAACATCAAATGTAGTTACATGTATAAATTGAAATATTCCAATTCCTTCCTAGGATGGTCCACATATGGCGTCACCACGGTATCCACTGGAGGGAACGAAACTCATTGCCATACAACCCATCTCACTAGCTTTGCTGTTATGCTGGTAATATGATCAATATTTTTTTTCAAGATAACACCACTTTATATATCATAATGAGAAGTATGTATTTTATTTCGTTTAAACAAAATTCAATTTTAATCACAGGACCCTACTCCCACTAGCATGTTGTCTGACTCCCATGAAAGGGCTTTGACATACATCTCCTACATAGGCTGTGCTGTTTCCATCTTTGGCCTGGCCTTCACTATTGTAACCTACTCCATGTTCAGGTATGAGCTAGATTTTTGATGTTGTTTACCTCACACACTTCCCTCACAATCAATCATCTAAAAAGCAAGAAATTCCTCGAAATCACCTTGTCTGTAATTGAGTTAAATTACTAGTTTCAGGGCTCGGAAGAAAATAGCATTTTACTTGGAAACTGGTGTAATTTATACGATATATAAATGAACGTTATTAATTACCTGGTCATATTCATTCCAATATGCTGATGTACAAAGAGGGCTCAAGGGTTAATGGTCATGATTTAGCCTGATTTTGTTTGATCTAATTATCAATAACAATGATTACTTCCTTCTAAGTCCCCCCTTGTTCCTGTTCTAAGAGGTTTCAGACACCATATACATCTTCCCTGGCCAGTGCGTTTTTGTGTTTCACACATCACCTGTTCAGTAAACAAAGCAAAAAACACCCCTGTCTATTTATATGAGAGAATCAATCACATGATCTACGCTGTAGATCACAATAAACTTAAATCAGAACGCAATTCTTGACAATTTGATAAATTGATAATTAACCAGGCGATAACCGTGTAAATAGTTAATGTGTGAATTCAAAATGATGGAAATCTTGTTATTAATGCGAAGGGAATTTCCTAGAGTGTTATTGTACAGAAGATAATCCATAGATTCTGAAACAAACTTAATACTAGAAATATTACACAATTTTAATATTAAGAGATTTTATTATGTATGGATTTTCTCTGCTCATTGCCCTTAGGAAATAAAAATTGTATCCACTTCAAGAATTTCTATCTTATCCTCTTGGAGTGACAGTACGTGTTAATATAATTTTGCTTCACTGAAATAGGCATGCTTGCAAGTTTTATTGGCAATAATGTATGTTTTTCTTGTAAAAGTAAATTATGATTTATTTATCTCATATTCTGCAGTTAAGAACAAATTTCAGGAAACCAAATCACATAATATTATTTCTAAAGCATAACATAGTCACAGTCTTCAAATCGTGGTATATTAAAATATTTTCTGCAACAAAAAAGCAAACAAAATAAGCCTAAACCCTTAAACATAAAAATATTTCAGATCACTAAATAGGGAGAGGTCGGGAAAGATCCTGCTAAATATGTGCGTCTCTATGCTTCTTATGAATGCAACCTTCATTCTAATGGCGGAGACAACTAGATCTGATGGTATGGTTCTCTGCACAATAGCCGCCATATTGCTTCATTACTTCCTGTTGACGTCACTGATGTGGATGTGCACTGAGGCTGTCAACATGTACCAAGCTCTAATTAAAGTCTTCACCACTTACTCATCTTACTTCATCCTAAAACGATGTCTTGTCGCTTGGGGTAAATTTCACACCTTTTTCAGCGTGATATCCAGAAGAAAATTTCAATTGTTTCATGAAAAAGGATTCTCTTCTTTTTCTGATAAACCTGTGTTCTTTATTTAAAAGGTCTTCCATTGGTTGTTGTTGGTATTACAATGGGAATTAATAAACTTGACAATTACCAGACCAAGACTAACTTGTAAGTAATCCTAGTAGCCATGCTTTGCTTTTAACAGTTATTAATGCATGCCTATTTTCAAATCAAATTGCAACATTTTTCAGTGTCTTAAACAGACTTCCTCAATTTTGTAGTTGTTTCATTTCGCAAGCCAACACAATCGCCTTTTACGCTGCTCTGTTGGGCCCGGCCTGCGTCATCCTCGTCATCAACACCGTCGTTTTTACGCTTGTTGCTCGAGTCATCATGAAACCGAGGTTCAGAGGGAGTATTGGAAAGAATGAAAAAGAAAAAGTGTCACCTGCGCAGGTGCGCGGTGCCTTTACTGTCATGGTGCTGCTGGGAGTCACGTGGGTTTTCGGTCCAGTAGCAATTAATGAGTCTAAGATAGTGTTCAACTATTTATTTACAATACTGAACTCCTTACAGGGCTTTTTAATTTTTGTGTTCCGGTGCCTTCTAAATACAGAGGCCCGATCCGCATGGGTGCTTCTGATCAAAACCGGAACATTCAAGAGAAGGCGAGGTCCGATCGTATCGCAGCACGATACGTGTTCCAAGGGAGGTAACGAATCTCGAGGAAACATGGCGGACAGCACGGTTCACACTGGACGAACCACAATCCAAAACAGTAACGAGAATCTGAACATCACAAAGAATGGAGGAAAACATGAGAATGGTTTCCACTGGAAACACGGAAAGGCTGAGGGAAAACTGGGACATCGCAGTCCAGGATTAGGAAACGGAAAGCGCCATAGCGATGAGTATGAACTCAGAAAAGAATTCGATGACCTCACAAAGCTTTGAATGCTAGTAAACTTTGATGAACTCTTTCAGGGTACTTTGCTCCTAGCAAATAATGTTCAATACAGTATTGGACTGCTAAAGTGATCTGCTTGAGCGATCCACACTTGACTAAATGTGGAGTCAGATCCAAGTACATATGAACACATCACTGTTCACGTGTTTTCATGTCAGTCTTTGCTGGATTAGCACGGGGTTTTCCCTCCGGTGACTGCCGTGTACACATTATATATATTATATAAAATAACGTAAAATATTTCAAGAATAAAATTTTTGAAAGTGTCATTTCAAGCAATATATTATTAACTTCCTTTGGATTAATCTTTTGAAGAAATAAAATTCTTGATTTTGGAAGAAAAAAAAGAATTGTACTTAGTAGGGTATAGTACATACTGAACATCTATAACGTGTGTACGATTTATGTTAATTTACCAGTACTAGACAATCATTTCACAGCTACGTATAAGCTTTATTTCTTACATTTTGATTACTTAGCATTGTTAGTGAAATTTCATAAGAATTTTTTTCTCTCTCAAATTGTTTTTTACCATTCAGTAGGACTTGTTTAAATTAATACATTATTTTGCTTTTTTCGCATAATACTGAAAACAGTCTACAAGTTACGTTACTTGTCCAGGTTTATCATAAATCATATCACTGTGAGTTATATAATAGTTTCACTTAATTTTGGAGCATTGCGTTTGTAATAATTGTGTTTGATGCATTATTTGAGAAAAATATATCATATCATCTCGCCATTTACTCGTCTCATGTTGCTTTTTTTAATAGAAAAAAGCTTTCATTTATTAATTGACAATATTAAAACAACCAATTTTGAGATCTGTAAAAAATTAATTATGAGCATTGTCTGTTGTAATTTTTTTCGATTGACATTTTTGTTTTGAAGTTTTTTCAATTATTATAGCCTTGTTATAGCCTTTAAAAATAAATATGTTTCGCTTCAAAAATCATTATTCGCCACATTTGGCAATGAGTGTTTTTATTGTAAATGATATTTGGATTTACTTAATAATTTCATAATTCATAACTATGCAAACATTTTATGAGGTAATTCACAAGGCTATGTGAAACTGTCGATTTTCAAAATGCATTTTCTTTAAATCTGCATATTCTGCTATTTTGTATTACAAATTAATAAAAGCAATAGATACACTTTGGTAAATCACTGTTTAAGGAGTCACTGAAATATCAGTGTTGAGCCTTGTTGATAATTCCCACTATTATTTATTATAATAATTACATGTAATGTTACGTTTTAAATACTAGTTATGTAGCGTTATTTCGTAAGTGTTCAACTTTTATCATGAATCATTATTATGCATTTGAATAAAACAGTTTCCCTATTTTTGTGATTGGAAATTTGTTTCTATATGGTAAAATATCAAGGTAGAAGTAAAAATTGCTGCATCATTCCAATTAAAGCTCCACTTTTGCATTAAATTAAAATCCCCAACAAACAAAAGTGAATTGAGTTTTGTATAAGCTCTGAAATTGAATTCTCTCATAGTGATTTTGTCAGTTGAAGCAATGAAGATGGAAATTTAAAAAAATAAACTTTTCACTGGATGAACGTGCGTCAGTCAGTCAAAGGAATGTTAATTGAAAGGTCTGAGAAGGTGACTGAATGGCAGTGTTCAGCCAATAAGTCACCTATAAGTTAACTGAATGGCACAAGTCACCTTGCAGTTATCTGAATGGCACAAGTCACCTATAAGTTAACTGAATGGCACAAGTCACCTATCAGTTATCTGAATGGCACAAGTCACCTATCAGTTATTTGAATGGCACAAGTCACCTATCAGTTAACTGAATGGCACAAGTTATCTATCAGTTAACTGAAAGGCACAAGTCATCTATCAGTTAACTGAAAGGCACAAGTCGCCTATCGATTAACTGAATGGCATAAGTCACGTATTAGTTAATTGAAGGGCATATGTCACTGTTAACTGAATTGCATACTTTCAAATCACTAATTTTCGTGGGGGTTTAATTTTCGTTTTTTGTGGTTTGAAGAGACCCATGAATTCATGTCCTCCTCGAAAATATAAATCCAAATATATAAAATCTCAACATTTCTTCAACTTCTAAATCAAATCCCTTCGAACTAATATTTTTTCTTCAACCACGAAATTTTGACCCCACGAAAATAAGTGATTTTACAATAAGTCACCAATTATTTAACTGAATGGCATAAGTTACCTATAGGTTAACTGATTTGGCATAAGTCACATATTAGTTAACTGAATGGTAAAATCTGATCCTGTGCTTCTCATATTAAATATCCAAGTTGGGAAAAAGGAACTTGCACCACCACTCCCTTGTGTTTTTTTTTTTTTTTTTTTTGGTTTTTTTTTTGGATGCCGTTTCATTTAAATATTTCCTTCATAGCAACACTACATCCTCCCACAAAAGGTAATTGTTACGGGAAAATTTCACATTCGATTTATTTGAGGCAGTCAAGTACTGTGACATAACTGTGTGACCTATTTGAATATTGTGGGTCATTTAATGTTAACTTTAACCGAAATCTTTTAACGAATCAATATTGGTGAAAAAATTTCAAATATTTTATATGTCAATCAAAAATGACAACACTTTTTATATCAAGCCAAACAAAACGTTGACTTTTAGGAAGATATAGTGTTCTCTATTATGTACTTAATTGAGCATTCAGGTTTATCTCCAATAAATATGTCATCAACATTAATTTGCATTGCTTATGCCACTTTTTAGGGCATTCCGATCTAGATCTTTTGTGGAGGTCAATCTACTGACCAAGCAAAAAGCTAAAAACGTGAATATTAATGAATAATACAATTATATCTTCAGTACCCTATAACCCTTTAAAAGTTTCCCCCTTAAAATGTATGCTTTTCCGTTATTTTCATCAACGTTTGATGTAATTCTTAATATTTAATATCATGGAACATCCAAACTCTTATTAACTATTCCTCTATAATATTATGAAAATGAATCACATAGGAGTATTTTTATTGAAATCTATATTAGTTGAATCTTAAGAAAGAAAAAGAACAAGATTATATTATATCAAACATACAAGTATTTTTATTATCGATAGTAATCTTCAATTTTTCTACGGACAAAATATCTATAGGCAGTAAAACTTTTATCAAATATATTACTTGTTAAAAACAATAAATAGGAAATTAAAAAAAAATATTATTGTGCGCTCTGGATTTGCCTGTGCAGCCAGCAGTCCACATATGCCTGAGATTCTGGATTTTTTTCCCTTTCTGAAGCAGGTCGCTAGCAAACATGGAGGTATCTGTATCATATCACGTCATTAATGGAAAAATAACAGACTTGATACGATATGCTAGTCCTTCACAAAAATGTAATATCCTGAGGTTGCAGTGGGTTTTTTTTTTGAGCATAACATGGAATATTTCCTTCAGTCTTGACCCCATGTCATTTAAGATATATATACACACCGTCACCTAGGATCGTAGCCGTTTTCGTGTTTTGGTTTAATTCATTAACCTGGACCTTTTGATTAATGATAACAATTGTAAACAAAAGAAAACAGTCACATAATTGCACATAACTGTGACTAAAAAGTCACAGCTAGGGATACTATTAAAAGAAGTCAACTTTTCATCATGCCAACATTTTACACATTTTAACTGCTTAGATGAAGCTCATAATAATCCAATCATAAATGACTTAGAATTCCCTGAAGATCTTGATCTGGATTAAACATTACATCAAAAGGATCTTGCACGATCAGTTTTGTTTCCTGAATTAGAAATTTGCATTGTTGCATCCATTTTGTTTTCACCTTGCCTGAACAAATACAGATTCCTGAGGATTAAGACCGGCTTCCTGAATAGTGAGATCAAAGTCCATGTAGGACAACTTCTTCCTGGGAAAGTTTGTGAGCAATTCATAACGTTCATTAGGGTAGCCTTGTTCTGCTACATACTTTACAAGTGCCTGAAACAATGGTAAGACAAAACAACATAACTATTATTCAAGTAGATTGAACATGATAATCAAATTTTCTTTGAATAAATACCTTCTTTCATATTTAAAAGGAAGACTCTAAAACTTTATTACATGTCCACCCCACTCCACCATGATTTTATTTTAAAATAAAAATAAATGAAAATCTCCAAGAAAATATCTGTAACTGTTGTAGAAACTGGAGATTTTTTACCTGTCATTTTAATCACTTCCTCACGACTTACCATAAGTTTTGATTGAGAAGACATTGACAGCTGCTGCCTTTTGCTATCTGGAAATCGAATCATGATGGTAGTTTGAGGATCTGAAATAATATTAAAAAAAACTTGAACATTATTCATTTCAATCATACTATAATTATTTAAATGTAATCTTAAATCACTGGTATGCAAATTAACTACAGAAAGTCATAAGAAGCAATTTCCGATCATTTAATGCTATATGACTATGAATACCTGATTCCTTTCCGAGGTAGTTTTTATAACTATCTTCACTTAAAATTGAACTAGAGTTCGTAACACCATTCTCCATATTGTTTGTTTCACATTTCTTACATTCACTTTCTGATGTGTCCATATCAGACGAACAAACCGCTTCATCATTGTCTGTATACATTTTACTCGGGGCGTCCGTCTTAGAGACAATATTGTTCTTTACAGATGACTGTGAATCGTCTTCTGTATCTGAAAACGTTTCAATTTCGTCATCGTCATCATTGTCGTCATCACTATCAGAAATGTAGGTCACAGTCTTGCATGGTTCCTTAAGCGAGGCTTTAATAGCTGCCTCTATCTGGGCATCCTCACTCAAGTCCACAACATTTGTTTCCTGTAAAAGAAGACAACGAATCGAATTGAAAACATAATATTCATTGTAATGTAAAAGGTGCGGATAACGAACAATGATCAATTTCATAAATCCAGTAAACAAAAGGACACGTGATTAGGGCGAAACACAGACCACTGTTTTGTAAATATTCGTTAAATTTGAGCCTTATAATAAACAAGAGACCCAAGGCCTAGAATCGCTCTTCTGATAAATTGTACAATCTCTTCACTTCTATTCTAAGCCTCCTATTATCCTAAATATTTAGATAAAGCCTTGAAATTCAAAAAGTAGGTCACCATGACATACCTTTTGGTTATCACACTCTGAAAACCCAATATGCATCAATTATTAGACGATTCTATGTTTCTTATTACCGGGTATATGAAATATTGAGGTAAAAGTATGAAATTCCAAAAAAAAACGTCAAACTGATCTACTTTTTTGTCAAAACACCCCAAAGACCCAAAATGCATTAACAGACAAAGTTTGATGATTCTAAGCCTCATGATTTGAAAATATTTGAATACCGCCTTGAAATTCTAAAAATTAGGTCATGGTGATTTACTTTTGGTTGATACATTCCACAGAACCAAAATGCATCATCTGTCAAAGTTTGAGGGTTCTTAGCCTCTTAATATCTTAAATATTTAGCGAAATTTAGGTCCCAATGATCTACTTTTTCAATTTTGGTCAACACACTCCAAAGACCCAAGATGCATAAACTGACAATCAAGATGCAATTCAACTCTGATTCTGAGTCTCTTGTTTTTTGAAATACTTAGATATAGTCTGAATTTTTTTATATTAGGTCTTGAGGACCCGATATGCATCAACTGACTAAATTTGATAATTCTAAGCATCCTAGTAAATAAAATACCTGAAATATTAAAACAAAGTCATGAAATTCCTAAAGTAGATTACTGTGACCCATTTATGATTGATATACTCCGAGACCTCAGGAAGCAGAAACTGATAGGATTCGATCATCCTATGCTTCATAGTGTCCAAAATAGGCATTTTAAACAATTTGAAAAATGACTACCTACAAAATTAAAAAAATTAGTTAACTGTGACCTTCTTTTTCATACATACGTTTCAGGGTCTCAAGATGCATCAACTTACAAAGTTTGATGATTCTAAACCTTTCAGTATCTGAAATAATGGACGACTGATTTTATAATGACTAGCCATAACATTCAGAAATTCAGTCACCATGACCTAAATTTGATAATCCACCCAGTGGTTCTTGAGAAGATTTTTGTTAGCGACCACAACTTTTGTTTTTATTTTCCTTATTATCTTCCTTTGTTTAAGGGTCACATCTCTATTTTTAGTATAAATGAAAGCCCTTGGCCCAAGAATACTCCGTTTAAAATTGGACCTAAAAAAGGCCAAGGTTTTTCTGAGATATGGCCCGTATTCTAACAAAAGGCCCATGGACAAAGCTGACCTGAGTAATTATTGCCACTTTTGTTACTCATCAGCAGATTTTTTTTTCTATTTAGTTCTTTGACCACCAATTAATGCCATATTCTAGCCCTGGGGGTCACGATTTGAAGAAACTTGAATCTGCACTGCCGGAGAATGATTCAATAAAAATAAGACGAATCTTGGTTTTCCTGTTCTTGAAAAGAGTTTTTTAAAGATTCTTTTTCTATGCATTCCTATGTAAAACTATGACCCCTATTGTGATCCCCCCAGGGGTCATAATTTGAACAAACTTGAATATACACTACCTGTATATAAATTCAGATAAATATAAATGAATAAGGCTATTTGAGAAAAAAAAAATTAACATGCTTTTATACGTTTTCCTATGTAAAACTTGATTGCCCATTGTGGCCCCACCATACAACCAAAGTCATGATTTGAACAAACTTGAATACACACTACCTGTGTATGCGTCCATATAAGTATGACTGATCATGGTTGTGCCCTTCTCGAGATTTTTGAAGATTTTTCCTATTTGAATGAACATTAATCTACACTACCAGTGATGCTTCCATATAAATATGAATAATCCTGGCTTTGCTGTTCTTGAGGAGAAGATTTTTCCAATGCACTCCTATGAAAAACTTTGACCATAGTTGCCCTACCCTACCCACTAGGGTCACGGCTGCACTACCTCATGATGCGTCCATATAAACATGACTGATCATGCTTTGCTGTTCTCAACAAGATTTTTTTTAAAGATTGTTCCAATATACACCAATTTAAAACTCTGATTGCCCATATTGGCCCCACACTTACCTGAGGTCATGATTTGACAAACTTTAATCTACACTATGTCAAAAGCTTTCACATAAGTTTCATCTTTTCTGGCCCAGTGGTTCTTGAGAAATTTTTTTTTAAACGGTTCCACTGAATTTTTACTTTTTCCTTATTATCTCCAGTTGGAAGAGGTGTGGCCCATAATTTGAACAAACTTGAGATCCCAAGTAAACTCTGTGCCATATTTGGTTGAAATGGACACAGTGATTCTGGTGAAGAAGATGAAATTGTAAAAAGTAAACGACATCGACAACGACTGACAAAGGAAAATTTTTTATCAGACAAGGCTAAAGTGAGCTAAAAAGTTAAGGCTCATTACACAAATAATCATAGCATTTGCTCTTTGAGCCTTTGGCTCAGAAGAGCTAAAAATTGAATATAATGTATAACTCTCTTTTTAATTATACAGTGAAACCTGTCTAATCCGACATACACTGGGAGACGAATTTTATGTCGAAATAGACAGGGTGTCCGATTGCACAGTGTAAAAAATCATGGAAAATAGTAAAACTGAAGAAAAAAAATTAAAGTTGCAATTCACAGTGTGACGGATTGCACAGGTGTCAGATTAAACAGTTTTCACTGTACTAAATAAAATATATAGAACTCCTACCCGTTTGAATCTCTTCGGAGGCGGTGGAGATGCGCTAAATGAATGATCCGAACATTGATGTGAACTAAATGAATCCTCCAAATATGGATGTTCTGCCAGAAAATGTGTAACTAAAATGATGAAGAATCACATTAATATTTTACAAAAAAAATTTGCAATTCTTACCAGTCTAACAAATTACCATTTAATACTAAAGCATTTTATTTGTACATATACTGATCCCACTTACAATGTACCTAGATCACATATACTGATCCCACTTACCTAGATCACATATACTGATCCCACTTACCTAGATCACACATACTGATCCCACTTACCTAGTTCACAAATACTGATCCCACTTACCTAGTTCACATATACTGATCCCACTTACCAAGATCACAGAATGTTAAAGAATCCAGACCCTTATTCCATGTCACCATATTTTCTCCTGAAATATATAAACCCTTATAAACGACTTAAATACCACTTAACCTAAAATATCTTAAACTATACTGCATGTACTTGAAATGCAATATTCAAGTTTATTATTAGTTCTTAATCCGTACATGTACCTGTTCTGGGGTCAATAATAGCAACATAGGGATAATCCTCAACTTTGTAAAACTGTTTAAATTTCCCACCTTCCTCACTGTCGTGATAAACCTATAAAAGAAAGGAATTGATATGCCTTCTCTATGTAAAATAGACTAGTCCAATTTTATTGAAAATTCACACAATTGTATACGCTAATATTGTATACAAACGTGTTCATTCAAAGGATCAGTGCATTTAAGCTAGGAGAGTTGGGTCCCGGTGCTTTAAGAAAAATAAACTTTCGAAGTTTCTTAACGTTTTGTATCAGAGTTATTAAACAATGTCTTAAAAGCAGTGTTCGATATATTATATCGCATGAAAGTTTTTAAATAATGCCGAGCGATACTGTCTTTTGCGACGGGGGTCTAGCAGTTTTGTCACATTTCTACTGAAAATCATATGCATACAAGTTTTCAACATTTTTCACATCGAGCCGCAACTTCTCCAATCATCTCATTTGCACAGAATGTGTATTTTGACAAACTTACACATATCCAAAGGACAATGTTGGACAATTTGCGGCTCATATCTAATTTTTTGAAAAAATCTTCAAACTACGGTCGAGTTAGCTACTAAATTAACAAGTGTTAATCCATTTTGACCCGATTGATATTATAATCACTTTACCCACGTGACATTCCACTTTTCGATACGCTTTCTATCATTGGAAATTTCTAATGTGTCTATCGACTTCCAACTTCAAAATATTGAAGATTTTTGCGAAAATTTTATTAAGGTTTTAAAAATTATATATTCCTCTTTTAGTCGTTTTTCGTCAGGGGTATTTTGAAAGAAATTCTGGTATTGTTAGTGCAAATTAGGTGCACGATTAGTAGGTATAGCTGTGCTCATGTCGCCTCTGTATCATAGTCTGTAGGCATCTGCAGACACAACCAAGCCCTAAACACTAGAATTTTTTATTATTTGTGCACCATGAAACTACGTACACAATCTCTTCTCCATTTAAATTCGTAGTGTAGAATCTGAATACGAAAAATCATGTGCTTATGTTTACATTCCACTTCCATGCGATTTAAATGTCTCCGCCTACTTGCGAATACCTTAAATTCGAAAGTGGTCCAATTCAAATTTCTGGAATTTAAGACTTATACATGTTCTTTTCAATGACGTTGTCTGTAATTATAGAAATATGTATGACAAAACATTCAAGACATAAATATCAAAAGCATATGCATGCACAATAATCATAGATTACTTCAGCGATATATTGTATTTCAAAGCTTAAAATGGATAGTCGAAAAAGTTCCTAATGACATACTAAAAAGCACTCACTCTTTCAATAAGTCCTTTTTTTAAATACATGTATAAGCTTAGGTAAAAAAAAAACGTCCTAATGTTTAAATCCCATTTCTTTTAACTTTGTGGGTTTTTAAAAAAGCTTATACCAAAAATAACTATGCAAGTATTAAGATCATATGGAATCAATGGGAATTTTGGTCACTATAATCTTAAGTTTGAAATTTTTGTTTTTACACTGTGATTTAACTTGAACAATGATTATTCAATCTTTGCCTTTGTTTAAAACCAGAACGTGTTGAAACAGTGTATTTAGACTATAAATTATAGTATAATCGCGAGGGTTTCTGACGAATTGCCATTTGATATTCACTTCTCCGTTAAACAGTACTCAGAAACATTCATGCTTTCGTGAATTAAAAAAAATAAAGAATTAACCTTTTTTCCCTTTTAACTTCTTATCCCAGAGTTTTATATCGTCGACACGTAAAACAAGAAACTCATTTATGATCTAAGGTTCGATTTATATTTACGGAATATTTTTGATGAATTTACTATCTAGCAAATAACAACGACAATTTTTCACTAAAAGTGTATAACCTCTACAATTTTCTTTGATTATCTGTTGTTATTCTTAATCCATAATGATGTAAAGGGAAAAAAAATTAAAATGGGTTAAGGTGACGTGTTTGATCTTGAAATGTATTGAAATACGCATCACATTCGTATTTGTTTGTTTATTTCAGAAGAATTCTCTAATTGAAATTAATGTCATTTCCTATATTGCGTGTTTGTTATGTAAAATATGTTAAAAAATGTTTAAAATCTGAAAATCTTTTCGTCCGCATGGTGTTCAACGTGCTCTATAAACCTTTTATGACCAATCTCAACAGGGTGATGTTAAAAACTTTGTACACTTCAAAGAGCAAACCTTGAGCATCTCTGCATTTTAATAAGCAAAGTAATAAATTACAATGATGTATCTGGTAATGGTGATCTATTGAGCGCTTATTTAACCCCGTTGTGAGATGTGTGGAAAATCATTTTCGTTCTGACGCTGGTTGGTTGAAATTCAGATTATTTCTAATTGGATTTCAAAATACAACGGTTTTCTGCACCATACAAGGTAATGAAAATATTTTTTAAAATATCATCAGTATAATGAAATATAAAGAATCTTTAAATTATTTTTTAAAAAGTTTAAGTTTATACATTGTATATGAAAATTATTCACTTTTTACTCGTTACAAATTTAAATTAAATGGATTTGATAGGAATAATCTTTTTTTAAATAAATATGAATTACCAAGGCTGTTTTCATCTTTTAAATAACAATGATTAAACTAAATTGTATTAAATGTCAAAATATTTTAAAAACGGCACAATAAACGTACGTTTAAAACAAATAGTAATTATGCATGTATGATTTAACAATTGGATTTTTTCCCTATTCTCAAGTCATTTTCTGAGCTTTGAATCCTACATAACCTTAAAATCATTCAGAGAAATTAACAGAAATCAAATAAATTTATCTTCATAAAGATTTCTCCTTAGTTGTATATGCTCAAGAAATGTCAAGTTAAAAGAAAAAAAAAACTTGTAGAATTTTTGAATGAAATTCACACATCTCTGCAGTTGTACAAAAATATACATGTAACCCTAATGCTAACATTTTTTGAATTTCACCTATAAATTATTAAAAATACTAAATCCTTTAGGAATCGGTCCTACAACCTACCTGCCAGAACACGAAATTTTCTTTCAGGATTTCCTTGACCCTTTCTTGACTCCACACATCACGATTTAAGGCCTGGCAGACAAACTCCTTGACATTTTGTACATTCACCATTATGTATTTGTTTAAAGTTGTTCCCGCTTCCCGAGCCTATATTGAAAAAAAAATTAATCAATGTATTTGTAAACTTATGAAACATAAAAGAAATTAATATATGTGATACAAGTAAAAAAACGAAATAAAAGATATTATTAACATTTATTTAAGAAAAGAAATCAAAAACATGATTTCAGAAAAGTCTTTCACAACAATCAACTTTTTATCAACTTTAAAATATTTTTTGAAACAAATGAATTTATTTTACTCTATAACCAAATGCCACAATTCACTATAAACTAAAAAGAATCGCCAAACATTCTTACGGCAGCTAAAGTCCCTTTGAACGTGATATCAATAGGGGGTCTGAAGAGATCCTCCAAAGTCCTCTTCTTATAAGTAGAACTAGTCCCTGGCCTCATCATTTCCTCCTGTTGTCCTGTAACACATATGAAACAGAGCGTTTTGAAAGGATCCGTTTAGCCTAAATAGTATTATTGAATAATTCCTCCTAGTTTACTTAGTACTGGATTCGTTTTTCTAATTTTATTGCTATGCTTCCGTAATCGCAGAATCGGGAGCAAATAGTTTTTTTCCTTTTATTCCTACGCCATTTTTAAATATCTGGTACAATTTCCCGTATTCGATTTGAGGTGATTAAACAGGAAATTACATGTGGTTAAATTATTTTCCATAATTAATACTAAGTATTTATTTTAACGATTCTGAAACACCTAAACATTAAATCAAATGGTCTAGTCAAGTACTGAGCAATTAATAATAAACATTTTCTGATGTTTAACATATTTCTTCTCCATTTGTAGAACTATCTTCTTGATGGATCTTCACCGGGCAGCTGTTTTACTCTTTCTTTTTGTCATATGTGAGTACTGTGAATGGACCAAATATCTATACTGAGAGAATTATGATAGAAATAAGAGTTTAGACATATATAATTTGGATCAAACACACCTAAGTTCAGTCTGCAAAGACCCTATCACTTCATCGTTTTCCTTAAATATGAATATTCTGGCTTTATGAAATCTATATTACTATCCAAAGAGAGTTGCTTTATCCATCTTAAGTCACAGCTTGAAAAAAAGATTTAATTATTTTCTTTGTAATTCACACAACATTAGACTTAAAACAACTTCTCAGATTTCTTTAAATGAATCTAACTTTACAAATTTTTCTTGCTTTATAGTCGTTGGAGGACAATCAAAAATCCATAACATTCGAAAGCGTGATACTGGGGACGATGGTGCACCCACAGATAGCAACACGGACGATGGCACATCAAACACAGAACCGCCAATTGAAACTGACTTCTTCTCAGGGCCTTTAGGTACAGGTAGCACAGATACCATCCTTGCAGATCCTATAGCAGATGCTGATTTGACAGGAAATGAGGTATCTCGTGATCAATTAACGAATACGGAATCAGACAACAGTGACTCTTTCCTCGATTCAGGTTCTCAAGGTGCCATTCCTCAGCCATCCAATTATGCTGGTGAGCTCATTGAACCTTCAGAAAACATAATGAATACAGAACTAGACAACACCGATGATACTGAAGAAAGGAATTCTCAAGTCTCTGACAACATTGAAAATATGGATGCCGGATTTCAACCTATAGAAGTTGCAGGTGACTCTAATGATGACAGCAAAGAAACTTCCGACAAATCACTGTTATTGGGACCCGCTGGAGATGGTCTTGATGCAGCTATAGGAGCTGGAGATGATGGTAAAAGCGATTCTAAAGAAGGTTTAGAAGGAGATAAAACTGATGACAGAGACAATTTGGAAGATTTAGGAGGTGATTTAGGAGTGGCTGCTGGATTGGATTACAGGGAAAATGCTGCAAGTGATTCAGGAGAAGGTATTACTGATGATTCAAGCGAAGGGAAAAATTGCATAGGGTGTGGAGAAGGCACTGATAGTCAAGAAGGGATGGGAAGCGACTCTGGTGAAAATGGTGCAATAGGGGATGGATTAAGATATGGAGAAGGTGATCTCAACAAAGGTAGTGACTCACAAGAAGCAGGTGGTGACACTAGTGAAGAAAAAGGTTTAAATTTCGACGGAATGACACCTTATACAGATGGGGAGAAAAGTGACTCCAATGAAAACATTGGTGATGACTCGCAGGAGGGAACAGGATCTGTATTAGGGCTTGGAGGGGATGACTCGAGTGAAGAAGACTCAAAAGAGTCATCATCTAGATGGTCAACACTCAAAATCGGAGATATTTTCGTAGACAGTGGTTATGATGCTGAAGGGCGTGATTCCTTCTGGCGGGATCCTACCATGAACCCTGATTACAGAACCAGCGAGGCAAATCTTGACATGCCACCAAATCAAGGACCTACATTCATAAAACCAAATCAGATCCCTGGTATGAACACTATTGAAGTTTCAACAGTGCCTCCCATTGAACCTTCAATCGATAACTTCATACAGCCTTCAGTGCCTGGGGAAAGAATGCGTGAAAGTGGTATTGATCCACGATTGGTTGACAGAACCTCAGAAAATTTAGGACCAGTTGTTGATTCCAATGGAAATTTTGTTGATAGCTCTGTAAATCCTGGTGAATATGTGGATTTATCTATCAGAGGAAGAGGAAATTTAATACAAGGTGGCAGACCAGGAATTGATGGAGTTGGAGTTGGTAATTATATGAAGGGACCATCTGACGCAAAAGCATGGTCCGACTCTACAAATTCAGAAACAACTGGAGTAATCCATCTCGTTCTAAATTCCGGAAAATTGGAAGGGTTAAAGAAAATATGTGTTTATATTCATGATAGCCCTGAAGAAGCTGCTACTTATTCCACAGAGATAGGCCAACCTGCTGAGGGTTTGCAGTTCTTCTTAAAATCAGCTCTTGAAGATGGGATTGTCACTTCAGAGAAGCTTAAAATTGGCCACAACAGTAACCTAAATGTCAATATTCCTGATGGAGCAACGGACATTGGAGGAAGGGTTGAGAGACAATTTGATCCCCGTATGTCAGAGTATACATCAAACATCGATACCGCACCCTTCATGAATGATCCAAGGGAAACTGCATTGGATGGAGGTGCAATGCGAAGAAGACCTTCAAGACTTTTCTTGGCAATTTCAAGTAAAATGAGAGAAGCGGAAAGAGCCAATTATCTCCGAAACAGAGCTGAACAGCTTCAAAGAAGAAATGGTGGTATCATAAGAATATTCACAGACCAACCTGATGGTTCTAAAAAGATGCAGCAGGTATTAGTAAACTTCCGCCAACCATCACTACCTTTCTATAAAAGCACTGAAACCCAAACCGTGAGGATACCTAGTAGAAGAACAACTATCCACTTCAGAGATCAAACTAATGGAGTTGGTGATACTGATGCACATTCCCACCTCAGTGGATCTGTAAATGAAGTCTCACTACCCAATGGAAACTTCCATGTGCACAGTCACGGAGATAGACATGTAGTACATGACCATGATCACGGAAATGTGGATCCTTCTACCCACGAAAGAGTAATGGACATAATCAATCGTAGGGAACCAAGTTTTGGACCCAATTCTTTTGATTCACCCTTTCCCACACTGAGAGAAGAAATTCAAGATGCTGGGGTTGAAGGTATTCCCAGAATCTAAATTCTTGAGAAGGGTTCAAGGCCTGTTCTTAATTTAACCACAACTTTTCAAAAATATTGAGAACATTTAAAAGGGCCTGGTATTAATACTTTTTTCACTGAACTTGAAGTTGATTAAGATATAATTAGTTGATTACTTGATACTAAACAACTGGATTAAATAAATTGTCACATCAACATCTATTTGTAGAAAATAACCTGACTGCTTGTCTTTGCAATTAGAGGAAACTGAGCTTTCCCTTTTGACAAATTGTGGTTCAAGTAGTTTTTATTTACAAGCTCATGGAGTAGTACTTACGTGCCTCTGCTTGAAAATCACGAAAACCATCAAAAACAGATCGTGCTTGTCTTCGTCTCCCACGTAGGACTAAAATGAAAAAGTAGATTATTATTATTATTATTATTAACCATACTATAGATAAACGAATCCTATCGCTCAAAAAAGCAATTATGAATGCATCTTTATTGATTTATGACTTAATACTGTATTTTTAATTGGTTGTGTAAATTTATAGCATGGTACATATGTAAACGTTATGCATAATTTTTTCATTGTTTTTGTTTGTCTAGATTATAAATCGATCAGATGAGTTTTTCATTATCAAGATACATATAGTTCACATTAGCAAAATTACTGAATCATTCAATGGGTATTTGCAAACTACAATATGCTGTCCGGTTCTGCTAAACTACCTCATGGCATAAAATACATTTTCTACAACACTGTGTCTAAAAGCATACAAGATGTCAATTTATGTCTCGATTGTGCCTTTTCTGTTGGCTAAAAGGGGCTTCTCTTGTACGTCATAAGGAAGTATTACTTAAAGACATCTTTTGCAAAAGCTATAAGCATGCAGCTGTATCTTCCATTTTCTTCTTTGTTTACATATCTTTATATATATATATATAAAAAATTTACAAAACACAATGTTTACTTTTATTTGTCAATCATATGGAGGGAAAATGTTAGACTTTAACATATCTTGGCTTTCCTGGGCTTACTGGGCGTTTTCTTACATGACTGACATGCGTTCTGGACAAACTATAAAAGATAACTTCACTATGCATTAATCAGAAAAAATAGCTGCTGAAAGGTTATCATTTTATTTACCCTGGTATTGCGATATCCCCTAAAAAAATGTAAAATACAAAAAGGGAGGGCGACAATCATAGCATGAAAATTTCATCAGAAGATTGTTACTTTTACAGTAGCAAACGACGACACGGACTCTGATTCCTATGAATCATCGGAAAGAGACGACTCGTCTGAAACACCAGATGAGTCCATTATAAAAGCCGAGGTTGGCATAGAAGATAATCTGAAAGACATGGTTTCTGAAATGACAACTGATGATATTGGACTGGTTGCGGTTGAACACCAGGAAAACACAGCCAGCGATAATTCTCAAGAAAGTAGTAAAAATGCCCTTGTTGAAAATTCCTCAGATGATGGAGAAAATCATGCCATCATACATACTACCGGTGATCAATCTAAGGGAAAAGATGCAACCTCAAAAGAAACAAACAGTATCCACACTGAAATAGAGACAGTACAAGTCAACACAATAGGTAACAAAGACGATGCTCCCATTGAGGCTGAATTAGACAAAGGTACAACTTCGGACACAGTACAAAATACAAGAAACAGGGAACCTGAAAGTGAAAGAGTTCCAACTGAAAGAGCCTTCAAACTAGAAGATCGTAATGATGATCAAAAGATTGATATTAACCTTGAAGATAGTAATGATGTCACTGACAGTTCTTTATTAACTTTAGATGAACCAAATCAAGATGATGCGGAATCCACCATGAGACGTTCTGAGATCACTGTAACAGTTCCTGAATCAACTGACACTGGCACATCTCCTACTGTTGTGGGGGCTGTTCTTCCAGATTGAACATTGTGTGTTTTGATTTGATTATTCTAAATTATGGCAATTTATCATTATAACCTCTTTTGAAAATTCACAATGGACTTAATGTCTTGTTCTCAGTATTAAATTAAGTCAAAGCGGACTGTAAATGAAACAGAGAAATGGAACAATTAAAGAGTGCCATCCACTGGTACCAAAAAAGACACCATGAATCGTATCTGTTAAATTCAATACAGGTTTATGTATCACAAAATGATTCAATATAAATGAAGAGTTTAAAACTAGTAAACTAATTGTTCAGAGAACAATTAGAGGTCTTTCCACCTTTTTAAGTGTTTCCGTGTCATTTGGGCTGAAAAAAAATGAAGAAAAATGCAATAAATGCAACAGAAAAAAAAAAAAAAAAAAAAAAACTCCTCCAGCTGGGATCGAACTCAAAACCCTTGGTTTGAAAGGCAGGTGCGATAACCATTAGGCCACGCACTCCAATAACAATAGTGCGTTAAAATGTTTAGGACTATAGAATAATTGCAAGCGTATTTTTAGAATCGGTAGGGGAAGAAAGAAGTTCCGTAAAAGGAAATAGTTCCTGAATTTGCAAGCAGTATATTAAATAATAAGGGACGGGCTGCGTAAGAAAACATTAACACTGTTCCCTAATGAAAATGTATTAATGGACTGTAGCCCGATTCATCGATATTGTGAGCATGCTGAATTTTTTGTAAATAGCTTCGTTGTAAGCTTAAAAGATCGGGTTCGGATTTTAACATTTCTGACTGAATATCCTGAAATAAATATGAAACATTTAAATAAGCATTTCTTTGGGTTAAATTAAATATGTGTAGCCCAAATTAAATTCCCAACATGCATTTTTAGAAGGGAAACACGACATTGAAAGCGAGAATTGTTTTTAATATACCGAAAATCGCTATTTCTGGAAACTGATTAATTCTAAATAAAAATCAAATAAATTCCAAATGTAAAAGAAAGAGAGAATGCTTGGTATTAAAATGTCGTATCATATCAGGAGAATTAAATGCCACTAAAGACATCTGAAGAAATAGCCGATAAAAGGTTTAGATCATTTCTTCGTTCACCTGCACTTAAATTTCAAACACAACAGAACTTGTAGTTTTTGCCGTGAAACTTCATGACTTCTATAAACTTATAAGACTCACCGTAAAACTCTCCAGAAAGTTTCTCTGAGGTCTATACTACATTTGTACCAAATCTGGTGTCGATCCGAGGTCTGGTTTGAATTCTAGAGTAACATTCTACATTGTTGTTGATGTGATTTTTTTTTTTTTTAAGAAGGGGGGGGGTGAATTATTTATTTTATGCCTCTTTTAAACTACGAATTGTAACTACTTCCACATCCTTAAGCCTTATTGTGACCTTTGAGTCAAGGTCAAAGGTCAAGGTCATTAAAAAAAAAAGAGGGAAATCTTTACTTTTCTATGTTTTTACCTGATACTGGAGCTGAATGCATGTCCTTACTTTTCCATTTGACCCAAGGTCAAGGTGAAAGGTCAAGGTCAAAGTTCAAGGTCATTTGGTAAATTGCCATATTTTACACATATATAAGGAATTTCTAATGTTTTTAAATGACCTTGACCTTTGACCTTGACCTATATTTCAAGGTCAAAGGTCGAACATGCCCATGCAGTTGATCCCATGTCTCTAGGATACACCGTTTAAAAAAAAAGTTCATTAAATGTAAGCAGCGTAAACTTTCAGGGGCAGTAACTCATACAAGGGACCAAAGAATGCTTTCGCAATGATAGAATGAAGAGAGTACTAAATGAGTCGAAGACACTGATGAAGGTTTGGAATCTCTACGGTTTACGGTTTCGGAGGAGTAGCGATAACAAGGTTTTGTTGCACAAGGGGTGACAACTTTTGAATGGGTCAAGCTCGGGGGACAAGAATGAAATCTTTGAAATAGTTTTAGAAGGACATATTATAGATGCAAAGATATTCAGTATATGTTGAAAGACAAAAGAGATATTAAAAAAGCTAATTTTCTCATATTTTGAATGACCTTGACCTTTGACCTCTATGTAAATTTCAAGGTCAAAGGTCACACATGCCAATGCTATTGGTCCCATGTCTCTACGATTAATCGTTTAGAAAAAAATTAATTATTCGTAACCATCAAAAACTTTCAGGGGCAATAACTAATTAAAGGGGTTTATGCAACCTTTCGCACTGAATAGATTGAAGAGTCTACTAAATTAGTCAAAGACATTAGTGAAGGTTTCGTATCTCTACGGTTTAGGGTTTCGAAGGAGTAGCGATAACAAGCTTTTATTGCGAAAGGGGTTGTAACTCCTTGAGGGGTCAAAGTTCATATACGCGGGGTCAACTGTAAAAATCTTTTGCGAAGTGCATTCTTATGAACCATAAATCTTTTCGATAACTTTTAAAACAAAAAACCATTCGGCGGAAAAATAATAAAAATAATAATAATAATAATAATAATAAACAGAACAATTTCAATAGGTCTTTCCACAGAAAGGTGGAAAGACCTAATAAGAATGGAAGTTGACCTTAACCATAGACAATAGAACAGAATGCAACATACCATATTTCCTCACAGATTTCAGTTTTGAATTATACTTTAACAGTATATAGGAATAAGTGGCAATGAGGCAAAGTTTGAGTCTTTTTCATATTTTTAAGATACAGTATTCTTCAATAAAGATGAAAAACACTATCAACAGTTAATCAAGACTGTTCATTTTCATGGCTTGAACTAAACAAAGTCTGGAAGACACAACATACTCTGCTGTGTGATTTCATTTTCTTCTGAGTGTTACACTGCCACCTTCAAGTCTGACAGAAATTGTGATAAGTTTTGATAGTTTCCACTATATCATATACTGAGTAACAGCTACAACACCATTAAAAATATCAATTAGTTAAAAGGATTATGTAGTTGCAGAAAGTGTATATTTCAAACTTTGTTTTTCTTGAAATCACATGGTTATCTTTTTTATACTACCTCAGTCTGCCAACATCTAAGTATATTAAGCCTAAGCTGTCAGTTACATTTCAAAAGTTTTTTTGAAAAACAAAAAGTTGATCTTCAAAGAAACCATTTTTGTTATATGTAACAACAGGACTTTTTTTCAAAAAAAAAAAAAAAAATCACTTTCCCATTCAAAAAATTTACATACAACCAAACACACAACTGAAACCAATTCAAATACCTTAGACAAATTAAAATGGTCTTCTTTTTGAGAAAATGTTTATAGTAGCAATCAAGGGAACAATTTTCTATTGATCCTCTTTAAAAAAAACTAAATTAATAATATGTGGAGCATAAGAAAACATATTAATGAAATTAAACAGTCAATCTAAGACAAAGCTTAATTATTTTCTTGGAATTATCAAAGAAAAATTGAGGGTTAGGGTTAGCAAATTGGAATTGAATTGTCTGATAAATTAAGCTATATGGTCAATTAAATACATAAAAGACTTCAGTAGTCCTGTCTTATCAATTATGGGGGGGGGGGGGGGGGAATTCCTTTTCTTGATTAGTTTTTATTTTAAAAAAAAACACCATTTGATATTTGTTTATCAATTTTCCTTTAATAATTCAATAAAAACAAATAAAGTAAGGGGTCCTTTTACTTAACCATTGTACCCGCAAATATTTATTTTAAAAAACAGAACAGTGTATAAAAATGCATTTTAAAGAGAGAGAGCAGTGCAATGAGAATTCCTTGCTCTATATGCTGTTTTCCATGCTAGGAAAGCACCATTATCTGTCTATATTAGCACCAATATCTGATTATATTTATTTTTTAAAGGCCAAATAATGATGGCAGAAACAAAATGCTTTCCAAAATTAAATCTGCCAAATCTGCTTATAAGCAACATTTTACAAACAACATTGAGATAAAATGTAAAAAATAAAATATATCAATACCTTCTTTTTTAAAAGATCATAAATTAATTCAAATAATATAAAGCAAGCCATCTTTAAAAACAAATTGTTTGTTAGCCCACTCCTGTCTGACTGACTAAAAATTGCCCGAGTCAAAACTCTTGTTAATCTCTTGGACATGATTACATTTTTATTCCTTCCAAAATTTACTCATTCTGTCAACATCTTTTTTATTTAATGGAATAAATTCTGAAAATTCAGCATTGATGTTGAAAATTTCTGACAAAATTTCCCACCTACTTAACGACCCATTTTTTTTAATCTTGAGTTGGGAGAGGGCAAACAAACATTATTTCAAAGATGGCCCAAACGTAAGCTAGTAACATTATTTTTTTATTATTATTATTATTATTATTATTAAGGAAATGTTCCACTTCACAAAAAAGCTGTGAAAAATGCAATATGTTCCCCCAATATAGCACTTGTGTCTTAGACTAAATATAATACCAAACATGCAAAATATACACAAGAAGCAGAGAGAGAAAAACAACCACTGTCTTGTGGGTTGATTATTTCCTCCATGTGTGGGGCTGAAACTGAATCAGTTGTAATAAGATTAAGATTTAACAGAAGTAATGAGCACATGGCACGCAACAATTTACCCCAAGACGCATTTCTGGTGCATATTACCTCTAACGGCAAAGTTCTGGGGAAGAAATACCCATACCAGACCCACCCTACAAACTCCTTACCAGAAACCTGGTCATGGCCCTGATTTAATTAACAAACTATGCATTTTTGTCTACATTTTGCTAAACACCTTGGATATTATTCAATGGTCACTAAACTGGGACAGATTTATTGCATCACCATTTAGTACTTGTATTTTAGTATGAATCCCTTCTGAAGATTTCGGAGAAATTCCTTCTCAATTAGACTATTTCTACAACTACATTTAAATGATGATCTAATTATTTTTCAATTTCCTTTTTTTTTTTCTCTTTTCTTTATTTGAATAATGAAACAGAATTTCCACATCATGAATTAGAAAACAATTATACCATAATGAAAATAAAGATGATGGGGGTTATTATTTTTGATTACAGATTTGATATTTCTAAAATTGTAAACAATCTTCTATTAAACCGTCAAAATAATCAATATCTACTGCAGGGATTTTTCACTACATTTTGGGAATGGGGCCTGAGCCCTTAGAATTGGGAATTTAATGACATTTTATCACTAATTGGGAAATTATATTGGATGAAAGTTTTTAAGAAATAAACAAACACTAATGATGAATAAATTTGAGATTTTATTTGATTATCTAAACCTTCAATCAAAGAGTAAATTAATCAATATATCACTAGAACAATGCAATGCTACTTCAAATTTTAGTAATTCTGACTGTAACTGTTTACACAAGGTTAATTTATTGGGAAAAAGGGAGGGTTTTTGCAACTGGGAATGGGGCCTAATTTTGGCCCTACATGGAGCAATGGAAAACCCCTGTTAACTAGTGGTTTTTAAAAACAGATACTGTATGCAGGGAAATTTTCGCCCCCCCTTTTATTTTCGACCCTTTTGCCCTTGTCTCAAGTGGGCGAATTTAAAACGGGGCGAATTCAAAGAACACAGTATAATTCCTTAAACAGAACCATGACTGGGCGAATTTAAATTGAGGCAAAATTGTTTGCAAGTGTAAAAGGGCAAAAATAAGACGGGCAAAAATAACCCTGTATACTATACTTCAACTCCTATTTCTGATTGTGAAGTCATAATGAGCATGATGTTACTATACCTTATATGAAAAACTACTGTACATTAGAAACATGGATTTTAAAGATATTTTTCATTCAGTTCAATTCCTACATATATAGACTTTAGAGAAAAGCATATACACATCTTCATGCTTGGTTGATATGCTTTCTCTAAGCCCTATACAGTAAAACTCAGTTAGAGCAAAGTTCTGGGGACCTGCAAATTTACTTTGCTATATCCGTAATTCGTTAGAGCCGTATTACAAATTTCAGTATACATGGTAAATTCACAATATAGATTTTTTTACTTTAAGTATGACTACCAAATATATTTAGGGAAATTTACCTTGTAGTTCAAATGTTTTCATAGGAATTGAGTTTTAATTATAAATATTTACAAAATTAATATCAGTTCAATATTTTAAAAATTTAGATCTTTGAAAATTGGCTATAAAAGATGTAAATTTTGTTAACTACTAGGGGACACAATATCAGTTCGCTATCAACCATAAAATCGCTATATCCCAGTTTGTTATATCCATAACATTTTACAGTTTTTACAAGGAATTGTTGAGAATTTTGCCAAGGATTTCAAAATCTTCGCTATATCTGTAAATTCAGTATATCAGTGTTTGTATTAAAGGAGTTTCATCTAAGGATTGACCTCTGTTTTTTGTGTAATCATAATTTTGTTTATCTGAATATCACCACACAGATTTTTCTTTAAATGTGCTATTGCAATGTATGCAATTTTGATGAATAAAAACTCAATTGCCAAAAGATAAAATTATACACAAGTTAAAAACTCAGTGTATATTTTTTTGATTTCGATATCATTGCTGTCCATTCCAAATTTATGTACTTAGTACTGACCTTGAAACAAACTTATACATGTATTGAAATTTATACATTTTGATCATATACATGATATACATGTATGTTTCAAAATTTAAAAAACAGTTATGATCAAAATGTATAAATTTTACATGTTTAAAACTTCCATAATTTGTTCTGAATAATACACAAGGAAATGAACCAAAACCATCTCACTTACTTGGAACACTATAAATAATTTATGAAAACTTACCAAAAACTGGCACATCCTCAACTAAAGTCTCATTTCTCTGGGGGATGGGAGCCCTTATGTCATCCCTGAAATGTACAATACAAATAAATGTACCAGTGTCAAATATATTAGATTAATTAATGCTTAATTAATTATAAAACCTTAAGAATTATAAATTGCTTAAGAATTAAATAATCTGATTTTACATACAAGGGGTGATCAAAAAGTTTGTGAACTATCTCTCTATTTACAAAACCACAATTCAGATCAGAATGAAATTTGGAACACAAATAGCTTAACACAAATAGTCATAAACATGTTCTATAAATACCAGATGTTAAGTAATGTTTTGGTCAATGTTCATGACATCACAATTTAAAAATGATGTTAATATGTAGGAGACTTGTGATGAAAAATAATCTGATTTTAGGTAATCTAATAATCTAATTATAGTACATAATTATTAACAAAAAAAAACTCATTAAAAATTATAAAATCATTCCTCAATCTCAAAAAGTATTTACATTCATAACTTTTCTTAAACTTAATGATAATTTTGTAAGAGAGAGAGAAAAAAAGGGATGGGGTAAAAGAGACGTGTACATTTTCATTTTACCAACAATTCACGTCAAAATTTGTCAATCTTTAACACTGTGTTGGCCTGATCAATAAATATATCTCATTTCTTGCTCCACTCTTCATTTACTTACTCTACATCAATTGGAGCAGATGCTGAGGTCCCTCTCGATGACATGTTTGGTTCGGAATGAGGCCCTCCCTGTTCAGCTGGGGGTATGGCAGGAAACCCTCCAGTGTCCATGTGCATATCTATAGCCAGCTCAAGGTTTCCATTACAGGCCTCCAGGAGATTTCTTCCAACTTCTCGATCAGCACCTACAGTATATTTAATTTTTTTTAAACACTACCACTTATACGAGCCTGGTCTCGGATAAGTGAGTTTATTTCAGTAACCCTAGTAATATTTATCTATTCCGGAAAAGTTACGTACATTCAGATAAATATAAATTTTCACCCTTAGTCACAAACTACCATTCCGGATAATTTAGTTCCATTTGTATATAGTCTAATAATAAGTTCTTTTCTACCTCCTTTCTAGAAGAATCCATTAAACGGTAAGGTCATGGAAAATTTTTGGGAGTTAAATTGTGGCAATGTTTTAAATTTTTTAAATCAAATAAGTTTGATTTTTAGTATAACTATTGAGGTTTGTAGTTTCAAAGCAAATTAGACGTATCGATGGCGAAGTTTGACTTTGGATTTGGCCTGATTGGACTTTTTCGTAAATTGAATGATTTTACGCGATATTGTAATTTGTGAGACTTTACAGGTAACAGGAATATATTAAGATCAGTTTGGGGGTCAAATGATTGTTTAACTTGAGTTATTTTTTTTTTAGGAGCGAAATGTTAAACTTCGAGTCCATCATAGCTATAACGGGGGGGGGGGGGGGGGGGGGGGGGGGGGGGGGGGAGGGGTAATTTCATAAAACACGGAATATTCTCAGAAGCCGGGCTTACTAGAAGGATTTTAGTTTGTTTTCTACATAGATTTATCGTGCTCGAAGGAGGTATATTGATTCGCATTTTACAAAATGTAATCGTCGTTAAATCGGAGAAAGCATTCACGAGAATTTGTGCACCTTCACTTTTTGAAGTAATCAAAGTACTGTGTGTACTGAGAGGAGGTTTATTAAATGGTGTAAGTGTTGTGCTCTATTTGCAGACTTGTATCATTTCATTTGTTTGTTGGTCTTTTGAAAAGGTTTGGAACAGTACTGTTTCTTATCCTTTTTTTTTTTTTTTTTTTTTTTTTTTTTTTTTTTTTTTTTTTGTTCATGTTATCCTGGCCATTTACATAGAACATGTTACCAAGAAAACAAAAAGGTGTAAGGTTTTATGGATGATATTGTATGAACTGATTTTCCTATTACATAATGGGATTGGAGTTAACTTGTATATTATGTTACACAACATATGGGAGCTCATTTGGTCCACATGGTCAACTTCTGCATAAAAATCCAACTAATGAAAGCAAAATCACAGTTTATTGAAATAGGATGAAAACATTTCTTATTAATTTTGCAAGCATTTGTCTCACAATGAGCAGTCAAACCGCAGCAAAGCTGTGGAAAAGTATTCTTCATATGCATTAGAATAGGTAGGCAAATTTGCAGGGTTCAGGCACAAGCAAGGAGCAAATTATATTGGTACAAAAGGCAGTAAGTACATAAAAAACCTTAAGTAATTGATAGTGATTACAGATGTATGTTACTATGATCATTTATTTTCAGGTACATTACCAAAAACAGGTCAACATTTTTAATTTTATTTTTTTAAGACAGCTTTATCAATGAGTCAACAGCTGCAATGGGCACAACATTCCTTTCAATCAAAGCATGACCTTATCACTTACCCAGTAATTCATTAGAACAGTAATTAAAGATTTGCAAAAAAGAAACAAGTAGGAAATGTTGCAGTTGTGCTAATACTAGATATAAAAGTGGAATTGGCAAATGATATAGATCCTAATCCAGCTTCAATTAATCGCAGCTATTAGATTACATTCTAGGGAAAAGTATAATTTGGTTAAGCGAGTCTTTGTGTGAAAGGGGGGGAGGGGGGGCATATTTCAAATAAACTGGTAATTTTAAAAAAGATGGTCAAAATCAAATTGGTTCCTCGTCTCCTTCGGATGGACTGTTCTGATATTTAGTTAAGCTATTAGAGCACTGTGATAGGCAGATTAATAAAAGTGATTGGTCAGGAGTCTCACTAGGATAAGCAGCACCCAGTACTTGCTCCGTATGTTGCTTATCAGGCTATCTTTGAATGGATAGTCTGCTAATGTGTTCGACGAGACGGGGAAACAAAGCTTGTCAAATAATCAGTTAAATTATATATGAATCAATTATTATTATTATTTAAAGATTTAATAGGTTGATATGAAATTGCAATATTGAATTTACTAGTATATATAAAAAGTCAAAACCAAGGAGTTAATAATGTGTTGTCAAAACAATATTGATCCATTTATTTAAGGTACACTGACATTCAATTTTAAGCTAATCTGGTAAGGGATATCCAAGATATGTCCAGAAGTATGCTTTATCAAGTATACCAGTTATTTCCACCGCACATTTCCATGGACAAAGAGTTGCAACGTACTCAAGAATTTGTTTTCTCGGATATTTTATTGTGTTTATCTATTTTATTGCGCACCTATGTCAGTGTCTAATGGGGATTTAAGCCTTGAGACTAATTTTATCATTCTGTTTAATTATACCATCGTCTTCAATTATTACCAAATACATGTATAATTGTGTGTAATACACAATGGTCCACTATTATACCTAAATTTCCCAGAGATAAAACTACTCCCTTACAGATATTTTTTTGAATACTCAGAACACTTAGTATCGCAATTACCTCAAATTGTATAACTTACTGCGGCTGTTTTGCAATAAAGTCAAGAAACTTATAAATGTCATAAATCTCCATTCATTTTCGGGGGATAACATATTGTTTACATATATTGTTTACGCTAGTGACAATTGAATGATACGAACAATAAGTATGCCGAAGGTACAAAGTAATGCCGATGGTTGCACTTCAGAAAGCAAGTCAAAGTATTCGGAATATTTAGACTTCCAAAATAACGTTTATCAGAAAGAAAATGATTAAACTTGTTATTAGAATAGTCTACTTAGCAGGAAATATCCACAAAAAATTAACACAAGAGAGCTAGCATTTTAATTTCATAGCGTGGTGCAACGAACATTTAGCTAGGTATTTCACCAGGGCTTCTTTTTTATAAATGTCCCTTAAAAATCTGCAGTGATTGATCTCATAGTGTAGTCAATAGCTATAGCACATTGTCCTCAGCTATTAATCAACGTTTCCTACCTTCAACGCAAAAGAGTTTCATTACGTTAAGTAATAGCGATATAAAGTATTCTTCCTTTTGTTTGCAATAGGTTAATCTACCCTTATGGCATGAGGTTATATAAAACTAAAATTAGTCGTACTTTAAAACACTTAATAGGTGATGATTAAATTAATAAGTCTTGGCAGTTAATTTTAATTAAAACAGTTTAACGATTCGAATGTAGTTGCAAGTACTTCCATGACCAGTCATAAAAGGTGTTTATCCTTTTTTCAGGGAAACTTTGAGCAGGTTTAGTCAGTATTGGATACGGCATATCATGCCCATACGTTTTATTATTTGTAGAATACAAAATTTAAATCTCATTCACTTCAATTAGGGAGCAACCGCTAAAGCACATTTGCCACCAACTTGCAGGGGGGGGGGGGGGGGGGGGTTATTTTAGCTTTGAAACGCTGGCTATAAAATGTACATGTTTAGGCATCCATTAAGTAGTTGTTACAAGGCTCTCATATTTTTACTTTCTTTCATTTCAATGATTTATTTTTTTTTTTAAATTTTACTATGGATTATAGTTGTTTGATAAATTGTGAAGAGGGAATATGATTTATGCAGCTGGGGAAATGAGAGGGGGGGGGTTAAGGACACAAATATTGTTTTAAAAGTATTCTAAGTTGAGAGGTGACGTAAATATCTCGTTTTTGTTCAATTTGGGTCTGATACACTCCACACTTTTTAGTACAACTATAACCAATACTTGCAAAGATAGTTTAAATTTTCATAGAAGCCATAAAAATGCGTAACAGGAGTAACAGCCTAGTAGGTAAGTAATACGATAAAATAAACCAACGGGACAGGGAATAGAGTGCAGGTAAGGATCCACAATTTTAGATTAAACGGGGAGTTGTTTTATTCTCACAAGTCCATAATTGCATTTCAACACATTTCTTAAAACAATTATAACGGAATAGGTGAATGACCGTTGATGATTTAAATTCATATTTTGTTTTAATGCATTGAATAGTAATTGACTAATAAGTCACTTGTTTTATAAGTTGTATTAGTGAATGAGCAGGCCCTGGTCGACGGTGACCATTTGTGTTGAGGTACTGCCGCCGTCACCATGGTTCTTGGCACCCCCATTGGTGGCGGTTGCAGTTCCATGCTTACTCGTGGTAGACACGAGTATTCATGGCCCTTGCAAGTGGCGTATTCCGTCGCACCTCAACGCAACTGGAGGAGTGCAACACATATTCTTACGCTCATTCCATTGTTTATCCTATTGCACATGTTAATTGAAATTCAGGATTTGAATTTGTGCATTGGCTTGTAATTGACAAGCAGTTGACTTGATTGATATTGAATCGATTGATTGAATGATGATTGATTGATTGAACTTGATTGATTATTGATTGAACTTGATTTATAATTGAATTGGTGACGTTCATGCACTTGTGACCTACCCAGTGCATGATCCGCCCGATTTGGGTCGTCACATTTGTTGTATTGATTGTTGATTGTGGGGCAGCCCTGTGGTAGCCCCAGCAAATTGATCACCGCGGCCAGAAGCGCCAAATTAAACAAGCAAAATAATATCTGTTGTTTGTTTGATTAATAGGGAATCTGCAATAATACCACTTATACGAGCCTGGTCTCGGATAAGTGAGTTTATTTCAGTAACCCTAGTAATATTTATCTATTCCGGAAAAGTTACGTACATTCAGATAAATATAAATTTTCACCCTTAGTCACAAACTACCATTCCGGATAATTTAGTTCCATTTGTATATAGTCTAATAATAAGTTCTTTTCTACCTCCTTTCTAGAAGAATCCATTAAACGGTAAGGTCAAGGAAAATTTTTGGGAGTTAAATTGTGGCAATGTTTTAAATTTTACCCACCCACCCTCCTCTTGTTTTTAGAACAAATACTGCTGCTTTTTGTTATGTCATTGTAGCTGAAGACTGCCTGCTTCGCCCAGATTCCACAACAGCCTATGTCGCGGTGGTGGATTATGTGTGTTCGGTTTTTCCTGTACGTAGGGACGGCTTGCTTGGTCCAGCACCTACATCAGCCTATGTGCCGATGGTGAATTTTGTGTGTTTGCTCATTCCGTAAATACAGCCTGATTGGTCCAGCGTCCACATCAGCCTATGTCAAGGTGGTGAATTCTGTGTGTTTACGTATACCGTGATGACTGCCTGCTGGATACAGCGTCCAATTCAACCGATGTCGCGGTGGTAATTCTGTGTGTTTGCGTATTCCGTCGCACCTCAACGCAACTGGAGGAGTGCAACACATATTCTTACGCTCATTCCATTGTTTATCCTATTGCACATGTTAATTGAAATTCAGGATTTGAATTTGTGCATTGGCTTGTAATTGACAAGCAGTTGACTTGATTGATATTGAATCGATTGATTGAATGATGATTGATTGATTGAACTTGATTGATTATTGATTGAACTTGATTTATAATTGAATTGGTGACGTTCATGCACTTGTGACCTACCCAGTGCATGATCCGCCCGATTTGGGTCGTCACATTTGTTGTATTGATTGTTGATTGTGGGGCAGCCCTGTGGTAGCCCCAGCAAATTGATCACCGCGGCCAGAAGCGCCAAATTAAACAAGCAAAATAATATCTGTTGTTTGTTTGATTAATAGGGAATCTGCAATAAATCTAAGTAATACAGGTATAATTCAGTGCTAAAAAAGAAAGAGAGAAAGAAAGAAAGAAAATTGTAAACATATTTGTCATTATGATATTGACATCTTGCAAGCTCAATTATTGGCTGGACATCCAAATATGGTTGGATTTACATTTACAAGTAACTGAATCTAAAAATAAAAGGAGACATCTATTCCTGCATGATTATTGATCATACAGTTTTCTTGTTTCTACACTGTTTATACCCAGTATTTTTCAAGTCCATTTTACTTTTTTTAATTCTCTCAAGCTGGTCAATTATCATTGGTTGACCAATATGCCTTTGTGGTGTGCTACATGTACCCACACGATTGAGAAAATAGCGAAATCACTGGTGAGTGGCTAGTCCAGATTCTAACCTTATATATGAAGTACAGCGTAGGAAAACCAGCAAATCAACACTATAATATCTTGGAATCCTTATAAAATGCAGATTTGTGTTAATAAAGCTATATTATTACATTATAAAACGAAACCTACAGAGAAATGATCCATCATGAACGGTTCACACATTGTTTACAAAGAAGAGTACGTATTTTTTAGTTAAATGCTCTAACAGATTTTACAGTTTCTCTTTTTCCTTGAAGTTGATGAGAAATAAAAGAAATAAATACGCTCTGCATAAAAAATTTACCTGTAATCGAGCAAAATTGTTCTATTTTCTCGCTCGTCGAAGTCATTGTTTTCTTCGCGCTGCTCCGACCGATTAGAATTATGTAACTTCCGATCCCGATTTATTTACATTCTCTTAAAATAGCTAGTAACTTGATCGTCGAATTTTATATTTTACATATAAACAGATGCACACTAAAATAAAAATTTATCCAGAGAACAACACAAATTTATATCTTCCATTTTTCAGCATTGGTAGAAAATATTGATATCTTGCAACAAGCATCACAGTGGCGGATACAGGAATCTTGAAATGGGGGGGGGGGCAGTTTGAGGTCGAGGTAGGGCCCACGGCCACACACAAAAAAATTGATTCATTAAATCTTATGTATATTTTGGACACAAAAGGGGGGTGGGCCTCTGGCCCCCCTCTAAATCCGCCAGTGCATCACATACGTGTAGATAAAGGTAAGATTTTATTTGATTCTCAAGGCTACCATTAACATTAATTTTTCAAACTGCCTAAAACATTTAGACGAAAAAATGAAAGATACAATGTTGAAACTTATTCCTTATAATTTGAAAGAAAATCATATAACCGCATGCACATTCTATATTCAGTAACATCCTAAAAATAAATAGATTTAAATAAATAAATAAATAAATAAACAAACAGACAAACAAATAAATATATATATAAATAAATAAACTAAAAGAAACATAAAAAGAGTGGGGAAAACAACAACAACAACTAGAATAAATAAAAAGATAGATAAAAATAAATTAAATTAAAGAAAAAAACATATAATTCACAGGACGTCATACTTCACCATTGAATCACTTTGTTGTTGTTGTAAGACTCAGACAGACGTGTACAGAAAACTGAATAATTCGCGCTATATATTAAATATATGTGTATGCATACTGCGTGATTGATTTACAGGGCGAAATTGAAAAAAAAAAGACTAAACAGATCAGTAAATTTTAAAAATAAGTTCAATTTTTAAAATAGTTTTCGAATATGACGCCACTTCATAATTATGTGCATTCCATTATTCCTTTTTATACACAAACTCCGTCAATTCAATTTCAATTTATTCACTCAAAACCATGTAAATGGTACATGAGGTGCATAAACATATCAAACATATATACATATAATACAGTGGGTCAAGCAAAAGGTGAGATTAATTCAGCTAGCTAGGGAGAACAGACCATACTATTAATTTTAGTAATAAATGTACATCATTTTTTTCAAAGAATCAACATCATTTTGGCACATGACTTCACAAACCTTCATAGTGTTTAGTGTTTAGAACAAAATTTTTGGTTAAAATTTTTTCCTCGGTTGGTTTAAAGCACTACATTCTAAAATATAATGATATTCATCTCCTATCTGATTACTCAGTCATTCTATGATAAATGGACCAATTCAGGGTATAAAACATGAAAAAAATAATTGTTCAGAATAGCAAAATGAACATCATAATTCTCTAAAGGATATATCGGAGAACTTGAAAAAAAAAAAAAAAGAATTGTCCACAAATCTGGTATCGTTAACTGTTTACAACAATTTCAGTATACCATTGATTTTAAGGTAATGTTACGGAAGTTAATGCTTGATCAAGTCTTATTATTTTTAAATAAAGCTGAATTTGACCAATTTTTCGTTTCTGATGTTCAGTATAGAACGCTAAAGTATGATTCATGAAGTCTCGCATGAATTCGAAATTAAGTAAAAATTTCGGGAGAAATATCGTTACGGAAGTTATTCCCAGTAATAAAAGTTAAAATTCTCGGCAATAGTTAAAATCAAAGTTTCTTTTCGGATATTTAACAAAAGTATGAAGCATTTCGCTCCCAAAATACGCAGTACAGTTAAGGTGCCAAATGGAAATATCAGCGAATTTTTTAGATGGTAAATACATTCTTTACAAGGATGGGCGTTTCTTTTTAGGACTTTACTATTATCAGACAAATGCAATGTGGTTGAAAACTACATGTTGAGGACGATTAGATTTCTTATTTAGACGTGTCACGTGATCTGGCAGTCACGTGATTTTAGCAAGTATACCCGAAGTATTGAGGTCATCTATAAATTCTAATATTGCAAGGGCATAACCAAGTTAAAATTCTAAGTTTAACATTATAATTATTTTCAACAATCTTTGTAGTTTGTGAAAAGTGCTGCGAACCTATACAGATTCTACTATATAATTGCTAAAATTACATTTGTTAGACTGTACGTTGAATATTTTGCCGGTCAAGTACATTATATAGAGATATAAATTCATTTGCAAGATTTCAACAGGTTCGCAGCACTTTTCAAATATCTTCAGACTTCTTGAGTTTATGTGTAAAAGCTTGTCATAATTCATTAAGGGTATGCCCTTGCAATATATCGATTTATTACGACTCTTCTATTACCCTTCAATGAATCTGCATACAAATATACGACAGTATCGCTTGTCTAGGGAATGTACGGGAAGTATATTAATAAAATCATAAAATAGACATCGCATCCAAGTTAATGACCCCTTATGTATGTACAGTTTGTATTTTATTCAATTACAAAATACATTTTTCATTGTGTAAATATAACTTGATCCGCCTCTCACTGCATACAAACTGCGTCAAATTTTACGATATGACGTCACATTGACAAGTGCATTGCGATCAGTGAATTGTTTATATATTGCTGTGTGGGATTTAACCAACGACAATAATGCATGCACTAGTTAGTATTGATGTAGTTTAAAGCTATTCAACAGTTTAAAATAGCAAATCATTTCATTTTGTGGTAATTTGAAGAACTTATATTTTTGTGTGATGTCATAGTAAGCATTTCCTGAATTACCGTTACGGAAGTTATTTTTTTTTTAATTTTTAAAAGAGACAACTGTTTTTGTCTATTTCATTTTGTTATGTCGAAAATGTAATCGTCTAAAATGGCTGATTCGCAACTAGAATCGATGATATTAGGTTCCGTAGTCACTTTCAGATAAGTTTCAGTTCTTTGCGTGAAATTTAAAACAAAATCGTTACGGAAGTTAATCAGTTTTTAGCGACATGCTTATGATTTCGCATGAAAGAAGATCCATGTATTTCTTTGCGAGAAGTGGTTTGATTTCTTTTTATATAGGATAAAAAACTTTTTTAAACATTCATTGCAATCTTTTCGGAACGCTTTTACGGCTGAAAATTCCTTCTGGAAATTTGTAAATAAATGAAGCGACATTAAGATTTGCAGTGGAATACTTTTTTCAACATTACATTATGTTCATATCAAAACTTTAACTGCATATATATCGGTAAATAATTACAAAACCATTGGTGTATATGTTAAGTCTTAGAGTTGAAATCGATCTTTAAATTTATAGTTAAGATATTACAACGGTAAATTTGTAATCGACATAAAAAATTCTTAATTGGTCATGTGTTTGTAGAATGACTGTACTATCCCATAAGCTACAAAATTTTTCATTTCTTTGAGTACCATTCCATCTACCTGATTCAATTGGAAGGTGGTGGTTTGTGGTTCTTAATTTAACTAAAGTTTTTCTAAATTTACATGATAACAGTGTTAAATATTTTTCGCACTCAAAATTGGTTTTAAAAATTCTATAATTTAAACTTTTTGAAGATTCTTGAACTTCACTATTCCACTTTTGAATATACTGATCTTTTAATTTTTGTTTGACTGTAGCAGTTATCCGCGTCCATTCTACATTATAGAAATATTGCTCATACCATATATTTGATAAACCACATCTGTCAAAAATATTTTGTACAAATGAAATCCAGGAGTTTGTCATTTCTCCTTAATCATATTATTTACGTAAATACATATATACATAAAAATTGATGGTCATCCGGCGCCTTTGTTTTCATTCTGGTTGATTAAATTGTAAGCAAAAAAAAAAAAAAAAATACCAATTAAAAAAAAAAACAAAACTCGAAATGTTTTGTCGAATTGTCGAATTTATATATACATATATACAATTCTACACAATTTGTTTTCTTTTCCATACACAAATTTTGCCCAATATTTTTCCATTCTTGAGTAAATATTTATGTATAATGGAAACCGTCCAGTTTCTCCATAAATCATAACTTACAGGTTCGGTAATTTTTTCTTCCGAATGATGTCTCAGCAGCATTGAAAAATGTATTGATATATCACACATTCTTGAAATAACATTATTGATACTTTCTTTATTAACGTTATTTGAAGTTCTTAAATTTAACAGTTCTTGTTCAATACTTTTTAAAGAAAACTGGTCACCATAAGCGGAAAACACGCCAGGTTACTCTCTGTATTTTCTTTTATTTGTTTCTTGTTTGCTACACTGTTTTCAGAACTATTTAAGAAAATTCAGTGATTGGGCTCATACATATTAGAACTATACTATTAATGGAAAGCGTATCACATCCGTGTAAATTACGGCCTATGAACCCTAACTCCGTCACCAGGGTCCTCTACAATATGTCAACGTATTAATTAGAATTTTTTTCCAGTTTAGTTTTTCTCTCCCTGCATCTTTAACACGTAAACATAGAAAATTAGTTTTGAAGAATTAAACAAGTGTTTTAAAACTATCATAATGTATTTATGGAAAATAAAAAGTATATAATTTTTTATTTCATCAAAGCCCCCAACATGGGGCATGTTAGTACAATGAAATTTTAACAATGGGACAAATCAATATGTGAACAATTACATGTAAAATAATGAGCAACAAAAAGATCTGTGATACACAGTTCGACAGTTGTTTGAAAACTGAATGTTATATATTATAGGAAGTTCAGGTATGAAATGTTTTTTTAAAAAAGCTTTACAAAACATTGCTAAACCATATCAGAAGTATTGATCAAATCATAAAAGATAATGTTTGGATTGATATAAATATTGATACATTTCTGTCCTTCATTCTTAAAAATCGTGAAACAGTTTCCATACGTACATAATTGAATATGTATGGAATCCGTATGGGGTTACGTAGTTTACTATCGCATAATCAATCATCGATTACTGGGTCGCTGGCGCGATAGTGCAGTAACGATGACGCGATGCAGTGAT